AGTTACTTATTTTCGACTAGTAAGTCTTAGCCCTAGGAGTAGAGAAGCAAATCGCTAAGTTATGCCTCTATCCCTAGTTTTACCAAATTATATCTATAGTCCGTCATTGCGTCGGAAATATAGAGGTTTGTAACATGGAGTTTGGGTAGGCCTGGAAGATGTAAGTGTTCTATCACACTAGAATTATAAAAAAAGTAAATGGATATAATTAATTTGCGAAGACCGAGATAGATGGAGCAGCCCAGTCTCCATGGATACAATGTCGCTTAAATATGAGTATCTGTTGGTGGTTTCCATTCTAGTGTGGCTCTCATTCTAGCCTATGGTATGTATAGAATTAATGCAAGCTGTTTTATCATGAGGAATAGACCTCTGAGTTCGATGTGTTAGGATAAGTAGTAATTAGTCGTCTATGAGCTAGAAATAATCTAAACATATCAAAGATCTAGTATTAAACTAGACTGATTCAGTACGGCCATGTGAGCAGCATCAAATGGGCCAGAAACAGCCGTCTTGCATTCACCACTTGTGCTCTTCCCCTCGAAACGCTCACGCAGAAAACGCAGCCAGTCGGGGGAACTAGCTGTGAGCAGATCACCGTGATCGATGCCTGGATACAGATTCAGATGTGCCTCATTACCGAATCCACAGGTGTCATTGAAGGCGTTGGTGGTGATCTGAGGTAAGATAGTGGTATCTGCCAACCCCTGAACGATCAAAAGAGGTTGCTCTGCTTTGGATCCCATGGCCGGAGCATTCATTTGTTGCCATTTAGAGAAGTCTGTGCTGTTCCTGAGTGCGGCTGTGCTGGTTATTATTTCCTCGGGAGAGAGCCCGAGTCCAAGAGCCAAAGCGCCATCGTTGCAGGATTGCGTGATGTCCGCGATCTGAGCTCGTTGCAAGAGCCTTTGCGAGAAGACTGACATATCCGCCGAGGGAATAGCACGTCGAAGAGCAGTGGACAACCATAAGAATATATACGTGATATAGTATGTGTTATAGTTGGACTTTGGGAAGATTGTCTCCGCTGTAAGAAGAATCAAGTCATAAAGTTTCGAACCTGGCGCTACGGCCACGGTTCCTATGTAGTTACCGGCTGCTGCTCCAGACTTGATGAGGGGACTTTCAGATAGCTTCCAGACAGCTCCCCCTCCCTGAGAGTGGCCAACACTTGCCCAGTTGTCGGTGAAGGTGTTTTTAAATACTTTGCGAGCAGCAACCATGCCATAGTAGAGATCATTGGCATGCGCCGGGAAGCTACTGTATTCGTGCTCGATATAATTGTTCCCAAGTCCCGCGTAGTCTGGGGCAACAATGGCATATCCATTTCGGGCGAGAATACTCCAGGTATCGTAGTCGTACAGTTTAGATGTCGAGGAAGGCGGACATCCCGCGAAAATGCCAATGGAGCCGTGGGCATAAGCAATGACAGGATATTTTCCATCCCGGCGAGCCGAAGTGTATGGAATTGCAATAAATCCGGTAGCAGGCACCACGGTTCCATTCAAGCTGACAGAAGTATACTGGTATTGATAGGCGGCAAGTCCATAAATTACATTTAGAGATGAACCGTTCAGAGGTCGAAACTTGAGGAGGTCGCCAGGCTTTGACGATGAGAAGTTGCGAGCAGTGGCGTAAAAGTCGAAATCAAAATCCGTTCCGAACATCTCGATGTCCTGCTTTCGTCCCTCGCTAAAGGCCCGTTGGCAAGCAGCATCGCATCCGAGGGATGTGAGAGTTGAAGTCGATGCATTGAAGTTTGCGGCGGGCTTAGCCACTGAGAGCGAGACAGTCGACAGGGCGAGAATGATGTTGAGAAGCATTGAGAAAGATGGCTGATTTAGACTTTGGAATAAACTGAGGAAGCAAAGTGTTGCAATTTGCAGCACTTGGGTTTTGAATACCCGACCCTAGCTATGGGGTGACTACGAAGGGGTCGGGAATGAGCCTCCAGATGACCTCATTAATTTCTTTAGACCCGAGGTGCTACGTTAATCCATTCCTAATTTGGGCTCCTGAACTCTAAGATGCGGGAGGTAAGCACTAGATTTAGTATATTAAGCAACAAGGTGTCCTGGGCAATGATGGATACTCCACGGTGGAGAAAGCATAGCCCAAAAGGTCCACTGCTGATATAGAAGGGCAATTATCATTGGCCGATGGACAATGATTAGGCGTTCAGCGACCTCTCTCACATGCACTGCCGGGGCATCTTGGGTGTAGTAGGAGACGCCTAGGAATCAACACCGGTCCCCATGGCCACAAGCACAGAGGATGGAAGAAAGGTTTGAGATTTTCATGTTGGAGAAGGTCAATAAAGGCGCTTGTGTAGCTCTGCTGAAGGAGGTATTCTTGGATTGATTGGCGAACCGATATATCCGACTTCGAAAAGAAAGACTATGGATCGTATTAGGAAATAAGTGGATCAATTCCAGGAGGGGGCCGGGGGCTCGGTCCGCTCGGTCCGCTCGGATGCGACTGATCTTAGGCCACCTGGAGGGTGGGGCTATAGTCGTACCTGTTATTGCCCTTTCAACTTCTAGTCACATCATATGCTGACCTGATAGAAATATAATATAACTATAAGTTCTGTACGCCTAGGGTCCTTCTCAGTGGTAGTCCATCCGGGAGAACAAAAAAGGTCATCAGTTAAATTCAGTTTTAATTGTTGGTAATTGTTGAAGTACCCCATGCGTTCGGCCACAGGAGAGCTCTTCAATTGTGGTTGCTTCCATTGTAGCGAGGTATTCGTTTATGCGCCTCTTCTTTAGTCAAAGTCTTCACTACGTCCATAATAGCGACAGTGAATCTATTTTCCGCTGTCAGCTCCGATCAGGATCAGTTTAGGCCACCAAGTTGGGACTTAGACACGAGTGGGAAGCTCCTTGGTGAATCATAATAACTTTACCAATCGCATGGCCTTGCGCCGGTGATGGTTCAGTCAACTTTCTGCCCTATCAACTCTCGATGGTAGGATAGTGGCCTACCATGGTGGCAACGGGCAACGGGGAAGTAGGGTTCGATTCCGGAGAGGGGAGCTTGAGAAACGGCTACCACATTCAAGGAAGGCAGCAGGCGCGCAAATTACCCAATCCCGATACGGGGAGGGAGGGAAAGTTAGCCGAGGGGCCACGTCAGCCTTAAGGGGTATTGAGGGCGATCGGGTGAAGAATAGAGGGGTGTCAGGGCATTCAGGTAAAAAGGCTGAAGAGCAGAAGACTGGGCTTCCCGAACTAAACAAAAAAGAATTCAAAACAAAAAACATACAACAGTGAGGATTCGCTGGTGGTCACCCACCCAACTACTAACTCACCGGCGTGTGGCTTAAGTACGGCTGAGCGGACGGGAAGCCCTGTTTTCCACACCCTATGGTCGTATGTGATTGATATCACACTGCGGAGGATGATAGAATCAAAATTGGTGGTGACAATAGGAGGGCAAGGAATGCTTATAGGGTGTGAGGCGTTATTGCGCCATAGATAGGGGCCGCGCGACCGCCCAACTTTATCGCCCGGCTCCCCTAAGGATATAGAATTCGTGTACAATTTACAATATCATAACTGAACTCTACTACTACCAATCTACCGGGCCATATGTCCATCGTACTAAGAAGATATTGTATCAAGTGAAATGTGAATTAGGGGGTATCTCTATCGAAGGTTCGAGGAGAAACGATAGGATATCGGATTTTATTTCTGATTTAAAGTAGAAACATCTAGAAAATAACTGAGAAAAGAGCGTGGAGTAGATGTTTAACAATATAACAGTTCTTCCTAGCCTACGAACCATAATTGGCACTTAAGGATCACCGTGCCTTAGACGAGTAGCCCAGTCGTGGATGAACTCACGATCTTCTTTAGTCGCGGTAGACATTGATTTACCCTCAAACAAGGCCCCGGTTGTGATCAAGTGTAATAATTTAAAACCAAGATGCCGTCGATCATCTAGGTTAGAGCCGTCAAATACAGCCAAGCAATACTGGGGGTGAAGCGGGTTGAGTGAGCTCTCAGGTGTTTTGAGAAGAGCAGCCCCGTGAAGGAGCTGATGTTTTCCTTGTTTGAGAAAGTCCTGTAGGTCAGAAGACTGGTGTTCATTGACGGCGGGAATCCTGCGTCGTTCACTCGAGTGCTCAAATATAGGAAACTGAAGAACCCCGGGAGAACAGGATGCTAGTCTGTCCCAGATGCTTGATACAAATTCTTCGTGATAGACTTGCTTCACCCAGTTACAGGATGACTGCTTAGTGGTTGTCCTTTGAGTCACCCATAATGTGAGTCGTAGGTTCCTAGCAGCAGCTCGCAATGAATCCACGCCAGATAGGTTTGCCAAGGGAAGCAATTTTTCCGCGTTAAGATCTGGATACACCGATGGCACAGGAATATTTGTTTCAGCCAGATGCTGCAGAGTACGTATTGCACTGAATGATGCCGTGATGCATGAAACCTTTCGTACGATGCGAAAGTCAGTTGGCCGGAAGTATGATTGGAATGAAATGTGAGCACAGATAAACTGGTCACTGAAAAAATCTGAATCCTTCCTCCATACACCCGTCCAAAGTTTCTGTAGACGAGAGATCAAATATCCCGTGACCAAGAGCGGATTTCCTAGATTGAATAGAGCCAAGAGTCTGATGGCTTGCTGATTGACATTGTGATCCCCGGAGCCTAGTGGCCTGAGAATTGCAATCAACTCACTCGTAACATCAGGGAGTATCAGATGTCGGAATGAGAAGAAAACCTCATTTGTATCTCTAATGACGGATCGTTGCTTGCGCGAGGGTGATTGCCGAGGCTGCAATTCTTGAGTGCCACGTTCACGAGGACTAGGCAGAGAACTGATGGTTGTACTATTCGTTTTGTGAGAAAGCAACCGAGTGATCTCATTTCGATGTACATTGAAAGCCCAGTCACATATAAAGTCGACAATCAAACACAATTGTAGTGCAGAATCATGTCGCTGAATACTTCCGTGCCAAAGGTCGATTATACGCTGGGTTTGTGTTAGTAAGGGATATAGATCTCTTCAAAGAACCTTACTGTTTCATCTGCTCTAGGAACACACCCATAGAGTCTCCATTCATCCCCACTGAAAGCCAAGAACCAAACTAAGCTGTTTTCTTCCGGCTCTTGCCTTCTTTTTCTCAAAGCCTTTTGAATATCGAGAAGTCTTTTAATAGGAAACGCAGTCTGCTTCTCGATAGCCGTAAACCCGGATGTTTGAATCTCAGACTTGGCTTCAATTATCAGGAAAGGAAACAAAATATGGTCTGCGTCCTTTACTGGACAGGAAACTAGGCTTGGATGACGTCGAAGGCCAGCACTGAGTATTGGTGTTCTCCGAAGTCCAATGACCCTATCGGGGTACTTTGTTCTGATCTCAGGAACGGAAATATCTGTAATTCCTGCGTGCGGCTGTCCCGCAAATATGGCGTTCTTGTCGATGGCCTAAAAAGCAATCATTAGCTACCCGATGTTCTGTAATGGATTTGATGTTTACCCCATATCCATCAATACCGCTTTCACTGCACTGACAAATACCCATCTCTCCGTGGGCTGTTTGCACTCTCTCCTCGTTTGGCGCAATTGGCGCACAGAACTCGGGAGCCCATCGTCGCTGTTGACATTTCCGACTGGAATAATATTAGAATTAACCCAAAGTTGTATTTTCAATGTTTTACTCACCACTCTATGTCTTCCTCAAAAAATTCTAATAGAGGGAACTCCGTCTTGGACCTCCAAGTCCACTCGTTGGCTTCAAGATCACGGCAATCATATGCAGCGGAAACAAGACGATTAACCTTGTTCACTGTTTTTGCCCTCTGTATCCCCTTCGGGGTATTGGTATGTGTTTGCTCCAGGTAAGTGTTATACTTAATGTCTTCAATTTTGCGGATGATGGTGAATATAGCTAAATTCTGTTCCGGCCAACGAGCCGGGGAAACCGGCCCCTCAAACTTGATTTTGTATTTATCAATCAACGCTCGTTCTTCCTGGCTGGAGAATCTTTTCTTTCTAGGCGGTTGCTCCATCGGGACATAAATATTTAGTAAAAAGCAAGCTTTGGTCGAAAGCGCGGATGGCTCCGGAACACCCCCGATTTTGAAGGACTCATAGTGAGGGGGAAAGACCACGCTATTTTTGATCACACGCTAAATATGGCCCAATGCACAGCCGCCTACGATGCAGCTAGACTGCCTAGTTCATTTTCATCAACTCAAACCTGTGGCGGTGCAGATTTAGTTACATTCGCAGTGAAGCGCAGCACCTATTATCGGAAAGCCTATGCCCTATAATATCTTGAACTAGATATTAGTCTCTACTTGCATATATGATGCTAGCCATAGGGTGAGCTACCATCAAATATTAGTACTAACATAATAGGTCATGACATCGCGTTTTCATGATCATGTCAACTAATTAAACTAACTGGTCTGATTACTGTCTCAAGCATCTGCTATCCATTCATCTCTAATTTTATAGACACTAGGTACATCTAATAATTTCGCCGGACCTCAGTAACAGTTCTCGTCTACGCCGTTCTCCTGATGCACCTGTAAACTACCGAGTCAGGTTCTACCTACCGAATTTCAACTCCCGAGTTCATTGAAATGAAATCATGCGTCATATCGCACGTCCAATAAACTGCCTCCTCGGGCGCAATATCCTCAGACATCCCATGCCTCAAGTCCACGATAGTTTCTAGATCTTCTTCCTCCATGATCTGTTTTATCTTTGCCTCATCAACGGGCACCGGTACCCCGCGATCTAAGAACTTGACAACCTCAGAGCCATCCATGAAACTCACAGATGTCTGCTCGGGGATGATAATACCCTTTCCGGCGAACGGAGTGTCCAGAAGCGAATATCCAAGTGCGGCCAGAATTCCACCCCAATTCGGGTCTAGTCCATATATCCCCGTCTTCCAGAGTACAGAACGTGCGATCACCGACGCAATATGATGAGCTGCATCATAAGATGGCGACCCACGGACCCGAATCGTGATGAATTTCGAGGCACCCTCGGCGTCCCGTACAACCAGCTTAGCCATTTCAGACATGAACCCGTTGAGAACGTGCTGCAATGCGACAAAGTCGGCCGACGGCTCTGGAGAGACGTCTACCGCGGGTTGGTCAGAAGATGCAGCTGCTCCATTGGCAAACATAGCGACCATGTCATTGGTGGATGTGTCACCATCGATGGAAATACAGTTATATGACTTGGATGCAGCACCTCGAAGGAGGATCTGCAGGGCGGTTAGTGTAACTGGAGCGTCTGTGCAAATGATTCCTAGCGTGGTGGCCATGTTCGGATGGACCATACCGGCGCCTTTGGTGAGACCAGCGAGGGAAAAGTTAGTTTTCGGTGCAGAAGGCAAGGTAAAGGTCCTTGACATCAATTTCGGATACGTGTCGGTTGTACTTAAGGCGACCGCGGCCTCGAGCCAGTGACCATGTGTATTTCCCATATTTTGAGCCAATTTAGGTATATGATTCAGAATGTTGTCAATCGGTAGTCTGTTCAGTCAGTCAGTGTGTCTCTTAAGGGTTGATATTTGGAATGTAGAAACGAGCTTACCGCTGAGCACCTGCGCCTGTATGCATAACCATCAGAGATGATCCCTCATCGGCAGTGCCGGTGGATATACATTTCGCGGCTCGGCGGCCCATGGAAATTGCATCATCAAGTCCCGCCTGTCCGGTAAGAGTATTGGCGCACCCCGAATTCGCAATGACGCCTCGCAGTCCAGCACCATTGGTACGGCGCATAAGCTCGCGGGTGACTGTCACAGACGCAGCGCAGAATTCATTCTTAGTCAAGACTGCGGCGCCCGATGCCGGTGTATCTGAGGCAACGATGAGCAAGTCTGGCTGAATGTTATCGGCAGGCTTAATCCCTGCGCGAGTGCTGCCCACTTTGAACCCCTTTGGATAACTCCCCGAGGTCGGGATCAACCGCTCCTTATTGGCGGGAATTGGCCGACCTCCATAGAGCTCGAATTTGTCGAACTTTGTCGAAAAGGCACGGAACTGCGGGCTGGTTAGACGGAGTGGCATCCTGGGTGAAGGAGAGAATCCGAAAGCGACAGATACCCCTAAATAAGTAAAATAAATGTACGTGGCCAAAACGCGACCCACTGCGGGTTTGACCCCGGAGCTCTGGAGCCCCAAGGTCGGTGGAGTTGCTGACTACAGTACCTTGGCATCCCCGGGGCACTGGTAGACAAAAAAGGGGGTATAGAACCTTCTTCAGATGGCAATGATGAAAAGAGATGCCAATTAATAAAATCAGCGCAAAAAGCGAGATCTGCGAGGAGCTGAGTGAGGAGACTTGACAAAGAAAACTCCGATTGTGGGATTTTCCAGTGAGGGGCAAACAGATTGTTTTTGAGGAGATTTTCTAAGCGATTCGCCTAGCATATCCCGACACACCATGCCGATTTGTCTCAAGGTAACATTCCCATATAGAAAAAGAGGTAAATGCTAGTCACGTAGGAGCGAAGGTTCATAACTCCGAAGCTATTCACACTTCCTGAATAGGTAATTTCTCGGGTAGATGGGAGATGAAATTGTATCGTCACAGGTGCGACCGTGGGTCCCCGTACGACAGCACAGTGCGAACGCACAATATGTAGTACTGTAAAGAACCTGAAAATAAGTATGTTAGTACTTCGTAAAGAGATTAAACAAAAGAGAAAGCACGAAGCTCATTAGCAAAGATCGACGAAATGCGAACTATATATGTTGTATACCTCACCCGCGGACACGAGAAACTCACCACAGGCAGCAACGTTTTGATCGATATGACACATTTATGACGCAGAAGTGCTAGGATTAATTAGTGCTGAGTAGATGGATTATTTACATGGCTGACATCTGGCTACTGTACGGAGGCTAAACTAATGGGATTTGGACACATGGCCCGTAAGTGGGATTGAGGCTCTTCCCCACCTTGGCGTAGTGAAGTAAAATATTAGTATAAGAGTACGGTAATGCCTTGTTTCAATGTCTCCAATGATTTCTAATCAGTTTAATTATTAAGGCTATTCGACAACTACCTCCCTGCATATCAAAATACTGATTTTGGATAAATGTCGTCAACGTAAGTACTATTGTCTTAGTTAAGGGAGTATATGAGAAGGGAGACAATATTAATGAACAAGCTCATTAAACAATATCCGCTAAATTTTTGAAAGTACAATTCCTAGTGGGTCTCGCGACATCGTTCTCGTGCGCGCAACAGTGGACGACGTTCCGGCAGTCCTCCATCTCCTAGATACCGCTGTCAAATGGCTGGTAGCGCATGACAGAATTGGGCAGTGGGGAACAGGACCATTCTCAGAGAATCCACGGCGCGCCGAACAGCTGAAAGAATTTGCAACAACCGGCCATGGCCTTTGGCTCGCCATCAAGGTCGCTGATAGCACGACAATCGACCAAACTCCACCCTCCGATATACTCTCCAAGACTGTGAACGGAGAAAGTTCGGGTTTCATCGTAGGAGCAATTGCTGTTGGAGACAGAATGCCTTACGCACCACCTGTCTCTGAGCCTGAGCTTTACGTGAAATTATTGATCACTGATCGACAATGGGCTGGTCACCAGATTGGCAAACGCCTTCTGGAACATGCCCGTCATCTCGCCAACGAGGCTGGAGTCTCATTGCTACGGGTGGATTGCTATGCAGGTGATGACAGAAAATTGGTCAGATACTACGAGTCTCAAGGATTTAAGCGATCCGAAAGGTTTGATCTCGCAGGAGGCTGGCCTTGTCAAGTACTAGCTCAGAATTTATCTGACGTGAAGGAAGAGTAGATATGATGTCTATCTTCTTTTCGAAGGCCAGTTGAGTCGCGCTGAGGTAAACTAGACATAAGCTGGATGTAAGTTACCAGACATGGGATTTTGGCAGCTGGTGCCTATACCGCTGGGTATCAGCCGCCTTGGGTTTGGGCAGACAAGTGGAATACATAGTATGGATGTCAAATAGCTTTCTCATAGCTATGCACTGGTTTATACATAGCGAGGCTCAGAGATTGCGTGTTCTCCCTACGAGTTCTTCGAAATTGCGAGGTACCAGTGAATTGCCGCAGAAGGACCCCCCCCCAAGAGGTCATATTTAGGGCACAAAACATATTTTTCACAGCACTTGCTGTCGCAAGCCTGAGAACTGAGAATGGTAACCTAAGCTCTGGGCTGAGGAATGGTCACCCCGATCCATAGCTACGCCCGGTAGCCTATATATACTACTCTGCTGGTTCATAGGCAAGGGAAGTCGTGTCACGCAGTCAGTGTAAACAAAAATCGTCTCTCCATCAAGAGTGCTATCGGAGTATCGCCGTAGATCATCTACGCAGTATTTCTTAATGGTTTGCATACCACCCACGCACTGATGCGATTTGGCTTGTTGGTAGGACATTGTTCCACTGACACAGGTTAGTTTATCTCCGGCAATTATTCGTCTACTAAGCAATAACAAAAATCACCAACTTACCACACCGTTCGCTTGATAGACACCCAGGTCCAATACCCACACTGTCCAGCCTCTAAAGGTTTCTCATAGGACATGCCCTGAGGTCCCACATCAGCCGTGATCTTTGACTGCCAACCCCCACTGATCCCATCATTTAACCCTTTCTCAAATTCAGGCCTCATATCCACAGACCAAGTCATTCTCTTCGTCGAATCAGCAATTTTGCACGGAGGCCCATGGCACCAAACGTCCAAAGGAAATTCCTTCTCATAAACAAAGCGAGTTCGGAGCTGGCAAAACGCCACACACGAATTCGACTGGTAGTCTGTATGATCGCAAACCCCACTCGAGCTGGTCAAGTACTTCGGTCGGCAAACATCACTCAAATAATCGTGGTAGAGAATCGGCATAGCATCAATCCCGTCACAGGCGTTCCTTTGGACGAGAACATGGTCATGATCCCGAGACGCGACAATCACGTGCACAGAGAGAAAAAGCAATACCAGAGCAAATGGTTGATACATGAGGCGAATTGCAGGATGATGTGGTAGGGTTACGTCGGGACCCGGCGGCGAACGGGGCTCGCACGGTTCCAGGCGCGGCTGGATGATCCCTGTCGGCCCCGCTGCTTAGGCTTATTAGCTGATCCACTTCAATCTACAAATTAATCGCGCGTGCGATCTCTAACCGAGGAGCATTCGATATCGTTTTTTCCATGGCACAGATGAAGTCCCATATTGATTAGCCTAACTGGCTTAGATATCAGCGCAGAACTGTTGTCATTAAAGGCAATATTAAAAAAAAGGATCAGCTCGATAACAAAAACGTGTGACTCATTCAAGCCTCTTCTTTGATAGTATGTTGTTCCCATTCTGGTATAGGGTACATCCTTAAGCGAGATTTTAGTCCGACGGAATTCATCGGGATCCGCAGTGCTATGTATAGTGCTCGGGGATCAAATCCCTGTTGTTATGCCCGAATGCCCGCAGGAGCACCGCTTTCCACACCGCTCCATAACGTCTTCCAACTTTCTGCAGTTCTAAAACAAGGCATTTAGGCATTCAGGCACCAAAGCGTATTAAGCTCGTATATTCTAAAACATAAAGAAAAGTATATGTACAGTCTAGTCCAACCCTGACAATAAGAAAGACATTCACAGATTTTAACCTCCCACGCTGCTCCCACCTCCTGTTTCATGTTCAATTGAAACCTTGAAACTTCAATCGTCTCTGGCATAAGGTTTCATCATTGGGCCTTCCCACTTATGCCGTCCGCGAATAACCCAATCCACACAGGCCAGTACCATAACAAAGCCAAGTACAGGCCCGGCATAATTCATATTCTCGGCGGTAACCGGCAAAGTAGATGGGAATGGGAGGAAGATAACGAAATAGGTGGCGAAGAGAATGGCAAGAAGATTCATGGGGAGGCCGAATTTTCCCATGGAGAAGGCTCCCTGTGGGATGTCTTGGGGCGATGTGAAGCGCCTGTAAACAAGAAGGACGAGAGGGATAAGATAGGAAATGTAAAGACCGAGTGTGCTGAGGGAGAGAATAGCGTTGAATGCAGCTGTAGAACCAATCTGGATGAAAGAGAGCGCAAAGATGCATGATGCAACCAGGAATAAAGCACGGAGAGGAATCTTGTAGGTGTTATCGACCACAGCAAAGAAGTCGGAGAAGGGGAGTCCGTTGTCTCGAGCGAAAGCCCAGATGAGACGTGTGACAGAGGCAAGACTGTTGAAAAGGGCGATCCAGGCGGGGGTCATACCCATTGCCATGAGGACGTAGGTGGCTGCCTTGGATCCAGTTGCTTGATAGACGATTGTAATAATAGGATATCCAGTAGGACTCATAAGGGCCTCTTGATAATCGCCCATGCAGTAGAGGACGGCAATCAGGTAGCAGAATGCAAGGGCTCCGTTAATTATGGTGCCGAGGATCATGGAGCGGGGAACAATGACTCTGGCATTTTTGACTTCTTCAGACATGTGGATGATACCATCGAGGCCTGTCGGTATGGATTAGATTGATCAAGTGTCTGATATTGGAGGAACGTACCGGATAGGGGAGTAATGACACCAAGAAGACCGACGGAGAATAACACTCCGGGATCCTTCCAGCCACTCAGGCCGCCCACAAAAGTATCCCAAACAAACGAGTCAGGGTTTCGAGGGGCAAGGATGACCAAGACCGCGATGCTGACGGGTAGGAAGACGACATGCATGATACCTGCAGCAACCTCGACCCCTGGCAGGACACGACGTGCAAAGATATTGATTACCATCGGGACAATTGCAACTGCCCACATGAGCAGGGTACCACGCCACCTCACAATCTCATACTCGGGATTCGCCATCACAAGCATGCCCTGGATTTGCGTACCGATGAAAAAAGGAGCTATACTAACCAATGCACCCCAGGCACCACATGTGACCCAGCCTGGAATGTTCAGCATGCGACTATAAAGAAAAATGACATGGTATTCACTAACCCTGGAAGAAACTGAGGAATCGACGGCAACAAGGCGGCGCGAGGAAATAGGTCCAGTGATATTGAGCACCCGCAGTTGGGTGACTATCTCGATGTCAGCGTTGGTCGAATAGCAGCCATTTGTGTACATACATAGAGGCAAGCTCGGCCAAAGAGGATGCGATGGTCAGATTACCCAAGGTACTCAAGATCATTCCATAAACAATCGATGAAGGGCCGCCGTTGTATAAGCCCGCCATTAAACCACCACCAGCAGTTTCCCATGTGGCAAGCAGACAGGTAGAAAATGCGACGGATGAGAAGAAATTGAGGTATCTCTGTTGTAAAATTAGAGTCCGCGCATGTCAATCAAACGTTGAACATATACCTCTAGTTGTTGCTTCTGGCGCACTGTAGAGGTCTCATAGCCACCATTCCCACTCCCAACTGGTCCTGAGCGCACAGCGCTTCCACTTTTCATTTCCATATCTTCCTGCATCTTGAGAGACGATTATCTGAGCACAGAAAAGAAGGGGGGAAGTCGATAGAAAATATACCACTCGGCTTAAAGACGGCAAGAAGTACTTTGTACTTCCTATTTTTGCCTCCTCATTTCCTCAAACAGAGACTAGACAGGGATATTTATTGCAGAATAAATGAATGCGAAACAAGCAACCGACCACATGCGAAAATTCATGCTCTGTTGAAACGGTAGTGCTCGCTTCGCCGTGAACCCTTGTCGTTAGCACTCTATTACCGAGACCAGTGTTATTTAGCGCCGTTTAGTGCTGTTTAGTGCTGGATCTGGACTCTCCGGAAATTCATCGGGCGCAAATTTAATGGAAAAGCCAGGCCTCGGTTTGTTGTTGGTTGCTAACATTATCTAGTCAAAGAGCCGGTCTGTTGCTAGTGGCTGGGCGGCCTATAGAATCCTTTGGCCCCCGCGATTTCGGATCTATTCTAATTGTGGACAATGCTATTGATCAAAAACATATTGGGACTCCACTTGAGTAATCGCAAACTATTGGTATGTTCGATTTAACACAATGTACTTGACTCGCATCCATGCAGGTGAGATGTAGTGAACAACGCCCCTTTGAACAGGGGTCGGACTTGAAGAAAACAAGGGTTGTTAAATATCCAAGAGAAAGAAACTTTAGAGTAGTGATAAAAAAAAATAAGCGGTGTTTTATTATGTGCTTTTGACCTTCTCCGCACGTTCTAAAACTTGCGATGGATCAAAACAATGCCTTTCAGCCCTTGTCAAGTGATAATCGCGGTGCTATCATCACCTTGACCTCGGTTGCGCTTCTGATCGTGGCCATAATTTTTGTGCTGGCCAAGATTGGTTCGGTGATTTATTTTAAGCAGCGGCGGACAGCAGTCAATACTCCCATCTGGATCGCTTTGGTTCTTGCAATTGTTCAAGTCGTTGTCTTACAAAAGGCTGTTGATCATGGACTAGGAAAGCACCAGAACCAGCTTAGCGAAGGCGATATTCAAAGCTGGAGCAAATTCGCCTTCGCAGCTCACATTCTGCTCATCCTTGTCTTATCGCTGTCGAAATTCTCGACTATCCTTTTGGTTTGGAAGTTAACACCGAGTAAGACGCTCCGTCGCAGCTGTGTTGTCACAGCTGGTATAGTTGTCGGGTGGGCGGTATTCGCAGTGTTTAGCATAGCTTTTCAGTGTGTATTGCCCGATGTGTGGTTGTACTCACCCGAGCGATGTGCTGGAGAGGTTAGTCTACACCAGGAGCCCACGCCAGAACTGCACCCCATCTAACCCCGAATAGGGAGCCCTTCTCTACCCCATCGCAGCCATGAACATTCTCACAGAGGTTGTCATTGTCATCCTGCCCTTTATTATGATGCGGAATGTCCAGATGGCTCGACACAAGAGGGTGAAGATCCTATGCTCCTTCTCTTTGCGCCTAAGGTATCTTAGCACTAACCCAAAAAGGTCTTTTTCAAAATCAATAATGACTAACTGACCAACTTATCATAGTATCCTCGGCCTCGCAATCACCCACCTAGCTCTCGTACCTTCATTTGTTCACTCAATCGATATCTCCTGTCCGTCACACCCCATTCCCCTTCCAGCTCCCGTCAAAACCTCGCTATGTTGATCTAACAAGTATATAGGGGACATTGTCGTTTGGGCAACAGTCGGTCAGGCAATGATGCTGACAGCCATCGTAATAGCTTGCGTCCCAACCCTTTACCACATCTTCGCCGGCCTACACTCTGGCCTGAATACGACTCAGATTTCCGACGGCAACGGCCTCGAGCTACCGCAGACCAAGGGGAGCGGGGGGTGGGTCAACCAATCATCCTCGGGAGCAAGTCATTCAAATTCACGACCGCGGTCGCGGGGGCGCTCGAAGACAATGTTTGATGGATGGGGAGGTCAGACTGGGGTTGTCACTCAGGTTTCATCGGGTCGGGATACGAACCAGAACGATGGTGGTAGGCAGTCAAGTTCGAGCGAGGGGACTGAGAGTACACGGCATTTGACGCAGGACCTCCAAGGGAAGGGAGCCGTGCTAAGGACAGTTGATGTTACGGTGGAGATTGAGGACCAGTATCATCGGGACCGGCTTTGATGTGTATGTAAAATATGAGGTGTTTGATAGAATGACGAGGTAGATCAATGCCGATCATGGATGTTATGTGCCACGAACTACGTTGATCACTGAATGAACAGACATTAAATAATTCGAGTAATAGATCTAAAGTGAGAGAATTCAAACTCTGTGGCCAGTCCATTTACATCTGAGGTCGGATGTTCTGATTACACAAAGGACAAAAACAATATCAGTGAGAGGCCGAATAAGTTTGCCTTAGCTATATGCTGAACTCCAAACATAGCAAATAAATTCTGTTTGTTTGGTAACTGAAGCTATAAGTACCAGCTCTACCACACCAGCTCACTTGACTCCAAATTTGACAGATATTTAACTTATAAAATCCTGACCTGGATATCACTATAGGCTTTACTATCTATAACTATACCACAAATCCCTACTTAGTTCCCTGCCAACAGTGGGATGCTATAAGAAGATATAACAAGGACCTGATGGTAGTCACCTATATAATGAGAACCCATCTTCACTGCTCCTCCACTCCTGTCATCCCTATATGAGCAGCTTTGTCGGCGGGTTTGTCTGTTTTGTTGCTAGATCATAGCTTCATCATAAGTTTGGAAAAGCTACCTTTTCTTCATTCATCCACATCTCCAGTCTGTTTATAACAAGTTACAATATCAAAGTAACCTACCCCTTTTCCCCAACCTTCTTGCGTGACCGCACAGACGTCCCACGGCCGCTACCTTTGAGACGAAGCCACTAGGGAGAAAGGTATCCCAACCTATCACCAAGGAAGTGCATATAAATTAGAGCAAACGGAGCAACCCCCTGAAGCCTTTGAAACTCTCTTCGGTCAGTGAAGCAATTGCTAATCGATGGAATGATCCTTGAAACAGGACGATACACAAAACAGAATGTGGACTGTGAACAGATCCCGACTGGTGTGGAAGGCCATCGATATGAGCTATTGTCCCTCCTCGCGTGAGTGAACGTCTTTCGGGGTTTATCTCTGCCCTTGAAGGCTCCTGTGGCATTGGCTCCCTCCCTGCCTCCTTCCTGGCGTAGGTGGCTACTTATATCAACTGCTTGTGCCGTGCTTCCGTTTATATGATCCGCTACCACATAACATCAGCGCCTATGTTCTACAGCTGAACTATCCTGTGAGTTTCAAAGTCCGCTATATAATTTCTCTACTACCTTCAATACCACCTATTCAGCCTGCTAACCACAATGCCTACTGTTCGTGGCTCCAGATCCGTGTCCTTCTCCCGCGCTCCCGCGTATTGTCCCGTCGTTTCTCGGAGAGATCGAAAGACTAGCCGAAGTCTCCTTTAGTCGGTACCGTTATAAGGGAACAGAGGATACGTGCTACTTCTGGTACGGCGATGTCGCTATCTTCCGTCTTGAGTTACCCGTGAGCCCTCAGCGCTGCGGTGGCCAATAATCTCGTCCGTTATAAGGAAGTTGTCGGACAGGTAGACCGGTTCAGGGTGTCCATTGCCACTCAGGAATTTTGTTAGGATTCCCTCCTTTCTGATTATTTTCCTGCTTGTTTTCTCGCTACTATTCTGGTACGTCCACCTTTTCCCGTGGCTTTCCTTGCGTTCTTCTTGCTTGCTCGGTCTTATCAACTTCGCCATTGTCTCACGTTATACACCTCGACCTAGACCTAATTTCCAACTACCGTGGAGACCCGGCATCAAAGGGCCTTATCATATTACAAGATATGTTCGCTGCGCGTGCGGCCTTTTGATGTCTTTTTATGGTGCGATGCGTGGCCAATAATCTCATCCTCCTCTATTCTGACAATGTGTTGATCCTCACCCGCTCAACAAACATCATCGGATTTCATCCTGCATTCGGCCCAGCTGGCTCCAAATCCGCCAAGCGGCCCGAGGACATTAACTCGGGGGAGGGGAAACGGCGTAAAGCCTTGCCATATGCTAAAATCACAGCGATAATGTTCGTCGACGACGATAATACCAGGCCGGCTAGGACGGTCATCGACCGGCGTCCAGTAGACCCCGACCTCAAAGGTACCCCAAAAAAAGTTTCCAAGGGTCTTTTTAGAGGTCTCTTTAGTGGTCTTCTCAGATATCACTATTTTTACTGAGATCTTTGTTTGCTGTTTTATAGTTGTATATTTACAGGTGTATAAATACCCTCTTTCTTCATACACTCTACAATACAGATGTTTCCTCGACCTATCATCTCTTCCGTACACTTAAATACCCTTTGAAAGCCTTCGATGAATCACTTTGACCAGGCAAACTAGGAAGAATTGGAAATTTACCGGCCCCCGAGCTGGAACGTTCGCAACACGCCAGTGTACTGGGAGATGGGCTCTCACGAGGAGATCTACCCACTGCTAATGCCGATAACGACATGGATAGGCTCTCTGAGCTGCCGAACAAAGTGCCCATGGAAGGCGAAATAGGTGAAGAGGTCCCGGCCTTACCCACATCGACGAGGGTTGTACGAAACACTGACCGACCGGACCTTTCCGAGCCCGGAGGTTGGGTAGACGATGCCGAACATGCCGCTACACGGGGTGCAAAAATCGAACGTAATGCGAGAGCCAAGGAGAAGTGGAGTTCTTTGGTTCAACCCAGTATGACGGAGGTAGACGCCGCAATTGAGAGGGAAGTGCCTCCGCCCGAACCTTGTTCAAATTTTGGGGAAACCACTGGAGACGGGCCTGCACGGCCTCTAAGGAGGTTAGGGCGGCGTACAAGTTGGACCTGAAGAAGAAGATATCGGCCACAGCCGTTAACGGGACGATCGCTATGGCACCCTCCGACGCCCTATAGCGCGGACTGCCTGCTCGTTGCACGAGCAGACAGCTCCACCTGGGACCTCGAGTATTACAGGCTCCCCAAAAGACTACCTAAGTAGATAGGAATGAAAGCAAAGATTCGGATTCTATCCTCAAATGTTGTAGTCTTACGCATTCCGGCAGGCTTAATGAGATTTATCGGTGGATGAGGATAGAGGAGGCGGATGTCCTCCTTGCCCAGGATTCTGGGATAGATAGTACTTTAGTAGAAATAATAAGACAGACGTACTTCCTTATAGATGTTGCTGTCCCAAATATTGAGGGACGTGAGCCCAAGGCTTGCGTCCTCATAAATAAACAGACCTTGTCGTGGGATACCAGTGATGCTGGAAAATAAATTGATGAAGGACACCTGTATCGAGTTCGTTAACGAGCTCATCGGGCGAAAATCTTATCCCTATATAATGGAGATCAGGAAGGTAGCAGGGCTACAAAGAGCCCAAGCTCCACATACTAACCTTGATATACCTATATGTAGGTAAAAGGAACGGCTCCAAGATAGGAAAGCACCTGGGCACCTCCATTGCTGCTCCCCTGTGAGCTTTTCTGGCATTCTCCTCTCCCACAATTTCTTCCTACCTCCCTACTTCACACCTATCTCATCCCATCCACCCCAAGATCACAATTGGATAATCGAAGGGGAAGAAAAGAAGGAGAAGCTATCTACGAACTTGCTGTCTCCATGTCTGGCCTAGGCATCGATTGATGCCTTCCATATTAGACACACAGCACATTAACTGCCATTAACATAAATAATACATTTCAAGAAATAATTGCGGATGCTTGATCGAGTTAGCCAATACGATGATCGGATTGAATCACCTTTTGATTGTGCCAAGCCCTTGCTGTTTCACCTGCAGGCAAAAGATCGACCTTCCGCCCCAAAATATCGGGGCTCAGCTTCACTGCTCCATTTGCCCGATGTGCAGACATGCCCCAAATATATAAATCCGGATGAAATCGCCCATTTCCACCCAATTACCACGGATAAATTGTCAAATATGAACTCAGGCAAGAACGAGGAGCCTAAGCCAGAAGACGACATACGGCAATCTTCAACGGTAGGGCGCGGGGCTCATGCAGAACAGCCACCTTCGTCCCAATCATCCACCAAGACGGTCGCGACCCATGAAAAAGCCGGAGACAGCAAGTTGCACACTCCCCCAAACATAGACTACGGGTGGTTGTGGAATATACTTGGTCTCGCTCTGGCGCTTGCAATCCTAATAGCGATCATCGCCATCCTGCGTGTGTATGACGGCAAACCACAACCTACCTGGAAATGGATTTCGCTCAACACACTGCTCTCGTGGTTGAGTACGGTTGGAAAGGGCTGCATCGCATTCCCTCTCAGCGCTGGCCTGTCACAGCTCAAGTGGGTGTGGTTCGCGGAGCGAAAGCGCCCGTTGTCAGACCTAAGGGTTTTTGATAGCGCTAGTAGAGGCCTCTATGGGAGCGCAGAGCTCCTATGGGCATTGAGAATGCGGTAAGATTTCATAATATCACCCCCGTGCAGATGCTGACCGGATAGTCATTTTGCAGTCTTGGGCGCCATTGCGGTTCTGCTCACCGTTGGGTATGAACCGTTCATTCAGAATCTGGTGCACTACGCCCCAGATCATATCATAGATGCATCGCAGATCTCTCGCCTAGCAAACACCACAGAGTATAGTAGCCTTGGACCGTCGCTGGCCTTTGGAAATAGTTCGTTCTCATCCTACCCGTGGCTGTTTCTTGCACTGGATGAAAGACTAACATAAACAGACTTCTATATCGAGTCTACATTCAAAGCGAACATATACAACTCCATATTGAGTACAGATCCGAAGAGACCATGGGCCATCCCGCAGTATCACTGCTCAACAGGCAACTGCACCTGGGACCCTGTTGCTTCTCTTGCAGTGCGCACCCTTTGCTCAAATGTTACATCATCCATCACGAAAACATGCGAACAGCTTGTCGACAGCGGCAGCGGGGGTCCATATCAGAACTGCACGGTCTCGCTTCCTAACGGGACATCAGCATATTACGCCAACGGCTATAAAACGGAAGCAATTTCCTTGCAAGTCCAATCCTCGTCCCAGCCTATAGTATACACCAACGCCACCTTACCGGTCATCCAGCGGATCGAAGCAGTGGTCGCAAGCGCGGAACAAGGGGTGTACGTAGCTTCACATGTTCGCGATGATCCTAGATATGCCGCAACGGAATGTTCTCTGGAACCTATAGTGCGCAGTGTCAAAGCCTCTGTTAATAGCTCTGTCTACAAGGAAACCACACTCGAGGAGTGGACAGAAATAAAGGAGTGGCATAAGCCAGGGAGACCATCCGGGTACTACCTACTCCCGAACTGGACTCAAAGCCTAGGCATGCATCCCGGCCAGAACTTTACTCTTTCCCCGGACAGCCACGCTACGATAACGGCCTTCGTGGAGTCACTTTTTTCTGGCAAGGCCAAGACCAGCATGCATGGATCACAATTTGTTTCAACTGCAAATGGATTTGGATCATACGCGACAACTGATGCCATGCAGGCTTTTATGTATGGAAACATCACGGGGTGTGCAGATACTCAGCACGACCGGTTTGGCTGCGCGATGAGGAACGTCGCTGATGCTATGTCTAAGTCATTCCGCGACCAGGCGTATATCAATAATGAGGCTGATATGGCAGTGGGCCATACACACGTAAATGTCACGGTCATTCATGTCCACTGGCAGTGGTTGACCTTGCCGTTGCTTGTTTGGCTGCTTAGTGCTGCGACCTGGTTAGGGACGGAGTGGAAAACGCAGCGCGGGAAGTTACATAAGTGGAGTGATAATCCGCTTCCATTGCTGTTTCTGTATCGAGGTGGGGAAGGTAGTCGAACTGACCAAGTTCAGGGATTGTCTAGCGAGGCGTATGAGCGGCGGGCGAAGAGCATTCATACGCAGCTGTATATAAAGGAGAACCATGCAGCGTTGGAAGAGTAGACGCCATGCTTGGAATCTGGCCTCGTTTTACTTTAGCATCGGGCTATAAATGATCTCAAACTGGCTATCGAAATTCAGCTCAGGATCCTACACGGCTGCTAATAAAGTTTAGCCAAAATTCCTTCCCAGTTGGGTAAAGCCTCATTTAGCTCTGCGTGAACGTGCATGTTCGGCGTTATCATCGGGTAGAGAAAACTCCCACGCATGTGGATTGGCTCCAACAGGTTCGTTGGCCATATTGAGCCCTGGTCGCAATTTTTTGACTTTGTCGGATTTGTTTCGCTTAGAACTTGCCAAGGAGTCCGGATCTACCGATGAGCTCCAGGGCAGGTCCAACCAATGCACCGGGGCAAGGGGGGCACCTTCCCGGGGCCACAGGGGCCGGGGCTTTTGACAGGGGGTGGTTCAGACAACGCCCACCCCTGCAGGATTACCAGGGGAGAAGCCCCATCGATGGGGAGGGTAGCATGGCACCTTCGACTGGGGGTGGTGGGCGTCAGTGGGGGGCCGAGGGGGGCGACCTTCCGGGTGGCCTGGCGCCGGGGGCTTTGAATGGGGGGCACTTTGGGCGGGGCCCACCTCCTGGAGACCATCGAGGGCGAGGCCCCGGCCAAGGGGGAAGGAATAATGGGACCATGTATTCGCTAGTTCGCTGAGAGGCTTGGCCGGGGGGCGGACGATAACAGGCTAGCCAATCCACATCTGTGATTTATTCGGCAGTCTGGAGGGGAATCTTAGCCTGGGCGGCGCGGTACTCATTGTCACTGATCAGTGAAAAGCGGTCGACAATCAAACTTCCGATATGTGTATCGGGTGTGGACCTGAGGGGGTCGATGGGGAGGGCGATCGAGCTGAGGCTTACTAGCTCGTGATGCCGAAGGAGTAAGAATGCTTACCATGCAGCAGCCTGTCTCAAGGCACGCCAGTACAGATTGGCGGATAGAACAGACAATCCAGGATTAATTAAACGCAGCTCACTTAAACGATGAAGTCTGGGGTATACGCCATGTTAGTGTTGCACATTGCGGCCTCGCGGCGGATAACAAACCGGGTTGTGGAGATGATATCCTGGGAACCAGCAGATATGAGCTCTTGGTAAAAAGCGAGAGGTTGGGAGGTGACAGGTTGACTGGCAGTGGAAGGCTGACAGGCCCGGGCCTCCGGTTGCTTGGCGGCCTGCTCGAGTATTTTTTGCAGTCTTTGGTTGATATGGGGTAGGTTCACTTTCTGGCCCGAGATATCAGTCGCGTTGGGGTTGTATGGACGGACGTTCTGCCGCAAGAGCCGCTCCTCCAGGGCAGGGGAGTCCACAGGCGAAAGGAACAGAGGAACTTGCAGTTGGCCGGTCGTTACTCGCGTCATATCAAGGAGTGCTTCGTGGGTAGAATGGAAGGCAGGCTCTTGGAATGAATGTAGTTGGTAAAGCGTAGGGTGTGGAGTCGTTGTTGCTAAACTTTGGTTAACGGTTTGTTACATCGGACCTCAGTCTCTTTAAACGTCCGCGTGTCATTTTGTGAATTACAACATACAGCGTTGTCTGATAAAGCATAGCGCATGTCTAAGGGAAAGTTGAAGCCAGATTTGTTAAGAGACGATGGGTACCTTAAGGGAAACACAAGTAGAAACAAATAATAACATGAACAGCCGTCTACTTCAAATGTACTCTCCATTCTGTCAGCCTCTCACCGTCCCAGATCGCATATCCCCACTCCCAGTCCCCGGGCGGTGATCTAGACTGTGTTGTCACAAAGGCTTGCTGGAAATTCTGTGTTCGCTTAAACCGCCCCATGGCTCTTCTTGTCCATGCAGCATTTGGCTTCCGTGTTGAGGAACTTGAGGAAGTTAAAGTCAAGAGCTGCTCAAAGTTCTCAATAGCGTTGTATCGATCGGCAGGGTAGGTTAAAGGCAATTGTTTCTCCCAAGATATGTCCAAGTTGTGGCCAATCCACCATTCATGTGGATAGCTTGAAATTTCAAGTAGCATACTGTAGCAAATAGCCGGGCCAGCATGTAAAGCCCTATGAAGAAAGGTTGGTCCGATAGATAGAAAGGCCAACCTATGGGTATCTAAATGATACAATTCTATGCCTTGGGAATAGACGGGACCATACAATGGTCTTCGCCTCTCGGGTAAGGTTGTGAATATTTCCTGGCCATGCTTCTCCACTAAGTCACGCCAAATTGCGCTGAACATTGAATCGACTTCTGTTTTGAAGTATGCCCAGACAGATCCCATTTCCTCGTACTCCCACGGGGGCATCGTAGCAAAAAACAGGCGCCAAACTTCATGTGAGTAGAGAGCATATCGATCAAAAGGACGTTTGCGGCGGCTCGGAACTTTCACAAAAACGTTTGAATGAAGTTGAAGTCGACATAAGGCTCTAAGCACCCGGTACTCTTCGGTACTGGACAAGACGACAGGGAACTTCACTTTCTCCCATCGAAGAGGATTGACGTATCTGGGTGTTCGTTTGTGCTTTGAAAACCCTCGTACAAAGTAGGTCATCTCCTTGTGCAGATCGAGCAATCTAAGGCCATCTGAGGCCTTCGTCGGCGCGTCCTGTTCGGCGGGCTTCCCTGTTTCCCTGCAATGGCTCCAGCGGTCCAACAATGCCACGACCTCTTTTGTTACAGTGGCCTTTTGTTGAGTGGCAGTTCTGTGTTCTAAGAGCTTTTCGCTTTCAAGAACATAGACCGCTTCAGCGAGCAGGTCGCCCCACAGGTTTGCTGCGAAGGAATACAACAGTTTGCCCCGGTGTCTGCGATATACTCTGTGGCATGCAGGAGATGACAGGACCAGAGCTTTCAAAGTACCCAAGTCCGGGATAATCTCTAAGATATTAATGAGCAGTTCCGGTGGTAAATCTTCGAGTACCGAAAGTTGCTATACGGGCGCCTCCGAACTTACCATATTGGCCTCATCAGGGAGATGTAAGCTCATCATGCGGATGGAGAGGGGAGGAGTGTGAGGACAGGTAGCTTGTGGTGTATTTGGTAGTTATTTATAATCCGGCGAGGGTGCCTACCAAGTGGTTTCAGTTAGTGCCTGCGCAGCGCCAACCCCCACCTGACCAAAATGGGAGAAGAGACAAGATCCAAAGATTGTCATGACAGTCAACCAATCCTGTAGCGAACTACTTGATTTCTATAATTTACGGCTCTAGAGATGAATCCGCCTTAAACTCGACGACGCTATCCATTCGGCATGAGTCATGCGCGAATGACTTAAAGCTAAGCCACCCAACAGTAGTTGTTCATCGTTTAACCTGATCGAATTAACTTTTGAACGCCTGCATTCTATTCTACCTGTCATGCATATGGTGAACTTTTAAATAGCGCATCCTGTCCAGTAGTCTGAATGTGGGGGACTTGGGCTGATTTGTGGGCTATCCACATTGATAGTTACTGGTAACGTTTAGGATCATTCTCTCTATTCTCTTTCTTGAGGTTTCGAGGTTAATTTATCCTTGAGACTTTCCAAGGCTCAACTAAAGCCACATTAATCGTTGGCAAAGAAGCTAATCACACCCACCAAGATGATATACTACGTAATTATAACGTCTATTTCTTTTTTCTTTCTCTAGCTTTGCAATGTTCGGCTAAATCTTCCTCTCTATCTATTCCAGTACACCTGCGTATCAACTTCGCTTTGACGGCATCAGATAAGTCAGAGTGCAACCTGTTCGTGAGATTCTTGCATGCAGTACCCGGATGGGTCTTTGGCTTTATTGTAGGTCTAAGCATGGGGAAATGCTATGTTCACTTCTAACAGTGGTATAGCTGTGCCAATAACACAGTATTTAACGCAAGCACCGGCGGTAATGATATTCGCGCACTGGATGATCCAGACAATCCTTCTTATCTTCCACTTCATCATTCACCTGTGACATCGCATGGGCATGCTATTTCAGATATGGATCGAGATATCAAAAGGGGGTGTGACATGTCAGGAGGATCTACACAACCGGATCTACACAACCCTGGAGCGACAAGACCATGGAATGATTCTGTCCAATATCCCAGGATTTTAGGGAGCCTAAAGCAGGATACGAAGTAGGAAACAAAAATTGAAAGAGACAATGAGGACTATTTTATGTGCTGGGTCATCATATTTGCAACCACCTAATTGCATTCAAGCTTTGGGTATCGTTAACTTTGCAGAAGGGGATGGGGACACATATTCATTTGCTAAAGTCATAATTCTCCCGGATACTTCCCTCCATGTTACTCGTTTTTGCTACTTCACTCTGGTCCTGGTAGTCACCTGCACTGTGAAGAAGCAAGTAACACAAGTAAAGTCCTGGGTAGCTCAAATACAGACACGGATTCTTGCCCTTTTTTCATATACTCTCTAGGGATGTCGTTATCCTCCAACCTAGGCCTAGTAAGTCTATTTACAGCATTTGAAAGACAAGAATAGTAAGCCACATAAGCGGCCATGTGATATATTTTAGTAGTCTTTTCAGATATCATTCAGTTTAGATAGGACGACGGCAAAAAATGCTTAATTTGTGCGAACAACTTTTCTATGTATAACCTTGATGCCCGTATATAAAATATATCGCATTCCCGACATTGCATAAACTGAAATAGAGCTCTGGTGTAGTTTTTAATGATAGCATACGAAGTGAATCATTGTTGTTTACTGCTGACTATCCCCCTTCACAGATATATATTCCGTCCCTGTGCGAAATACATGATATGCAAAGATGATACTAAAAACTAACAGAGCAGCAGGAGGATTCTTCTATCAGGCACTGACATTCTACCGATATTTTTTGAGCATTTCTCAGGGCAGTAAGTAAAACCCCGGAGAGAATTGGAATGACATGTTATCGCTCAATTGGGTCAAAAGGTTAATTTTCTACAAACAAGCAGGAAGCTAACTAGCTAAATGTTACAACCTGCCCCTGGACTGGCGAGTTACACACTAGGCCAAAAAGACCACTATATCTGAGCATTATGCTCAGATATTCCAGGCTCCGATATATATAGTGCATGACGTGGCACTAAAAATCTATACCTGACCTGAGACAATGGAGGTTAGAGGGAGAAAAGTATAACAAATCGGATGCTGAATCACCTCGCAAGAACAGACGTATCCAAGTAACAAACATGTGTTTAGAAGGAGAATACAATACGGTGGGGAGACACTGGATATTCCTCAGCGTAGGTTCAATGCCAAAGTTAGTTCAAACACGATGAAGTTTCCAAGATTCTTCTACTATCACCTGCCACTATTGATCGGCAACGATGCGAAGCGCGCGCCGAACACCATCGCATCTGGTCACGGGTGCCGGTGGGCCTTAGTGAGTCTTGTAATCTTAGAACCATCCATAGTTCACGCTCACTAGTATACCTTAAAATTATATAAATCCAAAAGGTACGAAACAAAATTGTTGTCGCAATTTCCTCAGATGGGAAAATTATAGGTCTATATATGCTATGTGAAAGTCTTCGTAATAAATAGTAAGTAAACTCGGGTAATAGAATGTCTGTTTGCTGTCTCCTCTAGGAGGCCGTCCTATTCCATTTATTCAATTAGGCAAGCGGGAGTCCCTTCGCAGATGCACTAATATATGATCTTGACGAACCCATTCACCCATTCACTTCTTTGGACTAGCTTTACTGAGAACCTCCGTCTTCTTTACTCTCTTCTGCCACTATCAACTTAAGGTACAGCATAGCCTACCGTTAAGATGATCCTCGATGTAGTAAGATATGTAGCCAACGAAGAAGAGTTAGGACCGGCAGTGTAGGTCATTCACTCAACACAATCGTCTAGTAGCTTCGTATGGTAAGATATTCGGTTATTGGCCCCAGGACACAGCGCCGTTATACTGGGAGGCAGTAGTGGTTTCCTGTTTCATCCCAGGCAAATATTGCGACAGTTTAGTCCGAAGTCGATGGCTTCTTACAAAGCCCTCGTTCTCTCTATTTGTTGTTGTTATTTGTTGTCGTTTTGTGCTGTCATCCGTCTCTCGAATGTCTAAATCACTCGTACTCTATCAACATCATGAACTTTATTAACCATCTCCCCGTCACTGCAACCGAGGGTATCATCGACGATATCAAAATACAATGGACTATCAATGGCACCATGAATTTACCGGGCAATGCTGGATATTACAAGACAGATCTGGCCGAGATGAAACGCGCGACAGAATACTTAGCACATTCCTGCGTCAAACGATTAGGGAAGACCAGAGTTCGAATAGTGTATGTCACTATTCATATCTTTTGTGTTGCCATGGTTAACTAACTATCCCTTAGTGGATCTTTCCACAAAACAACTACCAGCAGAACAACCCATGAGTAGACGACTGACCAGTGTCATTGTACAGTATCCATGACCCCAGGGAAGTCCAACGCCCACATATATGTGGACCTTACCCCGGGGATGCCGATTGCAGAGATGAAGGTCATGGGGGAGAAGGTGGTCATGGGGCATACCAAGGCTAGAAGCCGAGAGCTGTCAACCGGGTCGTACGGGCTTTGATGACCATGGCGGCGCAAATCCACACCCCGAGTTCTTGTTCTTCGAACTACGTTTGGACAATTTCGCGTGATTTTAAGACGGAGACATAATTGGTGTAGGTAACGGAATACTAAAATAGTTGGAAACCTTGGGGGGCATAATGTTAGATTTCACAAAGCAAATTTAATGATGTTAGAGTTGCTTCCTTAAGGTCTGGACTCGAGGTACTAGACATGAGTGGTGGTGGATATAAACTAAATTGATTAATAGAGTGACGAAAGGTAGTTGCTGTTAGAGATCTAGTGAAGCCATCTACTACCTATAACGTACTTTAAGGTGATACTAGGAGCTACTTCTTATTGAAGAAGGTGGTAGCGAGAAGGACATGGCAGCAGTTCATGGGCGGGGAGAATGTTCAGGCGTCTAATGATGGTATTTAGGGGATTAGCGAGGTGAATGGGCTGAAGGACTAAACAGTAGGGCGACAAGAGGGAGTTTCTGAATGAATTGAAATCAAATAGAAAAGTATCAAAACAAAAAACATACAACAGTGAGGATTCGCTGGTGGTCACCCACCCAACTACTAACTCACCGGCGTGTGGCTTAAGTACGGCTGAGCGGACGGGAAGCCCTGTTTTCCACACCCTATGGTCGTATGTGCTTGATATTACACTAGTAAAGATGATAGGATGTAAATGGTTGGTGACAATTGGACGATGAGTGCGCTGTGATTGTGCCAATGGTGTTGGTGATGTATCGTACAAGAGGCTCAAAGAGTTCAAAAATGGTGGCGGTCATGTGACCACTGCACCCAACAGCTGTTGCCTGGGGAGGGGTTCACCGGTTCTATGCCAGGCTAGCGGTATCCGCATGTTACGTGTATGAATTGCAAGGATGTTTCAATTTACCATACAGGACAGAACCTTGCAAGTATACGGCAAGACATTACCAAAAAGTCCGCCATATATAACTAGTCGTATTTGACGTTCTAGGCCCCGAAAGTCAAGCCATTGGTCTCAATTCAGAACATGCCTTTGTCCTTCCAATTGTTTTACAGGTTCAAAATTTGGGCATGATGACATTGCACAGGCAGTTTCGGCGTCGGGCAGTTATCGTATTGGCATTAGTTGGTCTCATCATTTGGCATTTACATTGGCAGAGGCACGACGCATCAATTGAAGTGACTCAGTACCCGCTGCTTTCGAAATACGTCTCTAGCAAGAGGGGGAATGGCGGAGGTACGAATCAGCGTTTCAAATTTCATTACATAGGCCCGTGTTCTTGCTAACATCAGCAGCTTGGCACATCCCACCAGATTGGGTAGAGGGATCTGGCGCTACTATTGAGAACATCATCGATGCGGCCAAGTTAGCTCTCAATGCATCCAGATCCCTGCCAGAGAGGCAAGTTCCGCACTCTACTATCCCTCTGATAATCCACCAAACATGGAAGGATACAAATCTCGATCAATGGCCAAAGAAATTCCGCCAGAGCGCAGAAACATGGTTGTCAGGCGTTGATAGTGGCAACATGGCGTACTTTCTGTGGGATGACACCGGCATCGCTGAATTCATGCGGCACTTTGAGCCGGAGATAGAGAGTCAGTTCTACGCACTGCCGAGCAATGTGGAGCGATCAGACGTGTTTCGTGTCCTGGTTTCCAAATGGATTGGAGGAATAGTGAGTAGCACTCTCCCCTTACCCAGGACTAGACTTATCTAGGTGCTTCAGGGGATTGACTGAAGACAGTACGGTGATATGGACACCGAACCCACTCGACCTCCGTCAACATGGGTTGCTCCTGCGGATCTACAGCCCTGGCAAGATCCGGAGACTGGCAAGATGTACAACTCAACCGAGCCCGTCAAAGCTATCGTTGGTCTTGAGGCAGACTGCCTACCTGACAGTGACCTCTACTGGCGTATGGGCTACTTCTACCCTATTCAACTGACGCAGTGGTCATTTGCATGGGCGCCCGGACACCCTATCCTACAATTATTCATTGACCGTCTGTTCGCAACCATTCAGGCGGTTTCTGAGAAAAATGGAGGACAGCTCCAATCACACTTATCTCAAAACGCTCTCTATGATATCGACCCATTAAATCTCACCGGGCCAGTCGCATTCACGGATGCCACTCGAGGGTGGTTGGAAACCGACTATGGTTTAAGGTGGAATGCCTTATCCGGGTTAACCGATGGAGGGCTAAGCAAATTAGTGGGCGATGTTCTTGTCCTGCCGATTACCGGATTCAGGTATGTTCAGCGCCGCCAAACGTGCTTGAGTACCCCTTGCTTGTCCATGTACTAATTAAGTGCAGCCCGGGAAGAGGTCAATATAGAAACATGGGCTCAAAGCCTGTTACAGATCCTTCTGCTCGCCTAATTCATCATGCCCAAGGGTCCTGGAGAAAGACTAGCGCTCTAGTTGAGTACGGCAAATTTTGTCGCACCTTTTTCGGGCGCTGTAGGGATTGGTCAAAAGTACCTCATAATTGGATTTTTTGAGATGATAGCTGGCATCCCAGCTGCATACGATGTAATATTAGTATATTGATGACTCCCATTAGGTGATACCTAATGACGGAAGCAAGAATAGGCATTTGCCTAAGTCCAATCATCTGGACACACTTTTTGGATCAGCGGGCGGCGATGTATAATTTTCGGGATTTAGCACGTGCCAGAGAATTGATAGTCCTATGGGAAAGAAATACGGCTTATTTTACCGCTAGACCCTAATGTTGGAAAAATACAGAAATACAGCCATTTTTACCACTAGAACACAACAAAAACCTTGGTTCCTATTTAGGGCCATATGCTAATCTGACAAGTACCTTTAACGGAAAATGCATTGTCTTGGCATCAGACGTGAGCAATATCTCCCACTCTGGATTTAGGCAGCGCTTGGATATCACAACACTAAACATGCCCGCCAGCCTCGAGTGTGATGGGTATGAGCTCGACTCCGAGTCATTACTTGGTCGGAGAAATCGCGACCTGCGTGTGTCTGAATGGCGACATCACACCTTCGCCCTCCATTGGACAAGGAAAACACTGACCGCGCTATTAACCCGCGTTTTCCTCATCTTAGCCCAGGCCTTGGGTGTGCTCTTTGGATTGAGAATCGGACGCCGAGGTTGGTTCTTGGTTCGAACCTTACTCGGTGGACTTCTATTGCTGATCTGTCTGACTGCACTATTTTGGCCATCATATACCCACTTACCGCCATGTTATCAGACGCTTAGAAGCCGAGTGCAGAGAAGCGGGTTTCAAGGGCGCGGTAACATCGAGAACAAGCAGGTCTTCATTGCGGCTGTTCTTTATGACCCCCAAGGGGAATTTGCCAGCGGAAAATGGGGACAGGCCGTTCTCCAGCTCATTGAACTTCTTGGGGAGCAAAATGTTTTTCTAAGCTTATACGAAAACAATAGTGGGCGAGAAGGCGAAAATGCCATTCGCGCTCTAGCGGACAAGGTGACGTGCGACAAGTCGATCGTATCAGAGCCAGGTCTCAGTTTAGGAGGAATACCGAGAGTGACCATCCCAGGAGAAGAGACGCGCATCAGGCGCATTGATTATCTGGCTGAAGTCCGAAACCGTGCTTTGCAACCACTACAAAATGGCAACACGACGTACGACAAACTTTTATATCTGAACGATGTTATTTTCGATCCCGTCGAAGCCCTACAGCTTCTGTTCTGCACCAACGCCGACGCTAATGGTGTAGCGCAATACCGAGCTGCGTGTGCAATGGACTTCAGTAACGCCTTCAAGTTTTATGACACCTACGCAACCCGCGACCTACAAGGCTATGGAATTGGCCTACCGTTCTACCCCTGGTTTACTACGGCGGGGAGGGCACAGAGTAGACAGGACGTGCTAGAGGGTAGAGATGCTGTCCGCGTCCGCAGCTGTTGGGGCGGTATGACTGCATTTGATGCCCACTTTTTCCAGGGTGGGAATCCTGTTCGATTTCGCGCGGACTCTGAGATATTTTGGGATGCCTCCGAGTGCTGTATCATTCATGCAGACATACAGAGTGCAGCATCGAACTCGGAAGAATCTGAAGTCTCGGGATCATACATCAATCCCTTCGTTCGGGTCGCTTATGACGAGAAAAGCCATTCGTGGCTTTGGATCACTCGACGTTTCGAGAAACTGTATCCATTCATTCACAACATCTTGAACCACCTCGTTGGACTTCCTCAATACAACCCTCGCCGTGCCGAGGTATTTGGCCAAAAGGTCATGGACACTGTTTGGGTACCTGGCGATGGTGAAGGACAACAGGGTCAAGTTCGGACCATGCAGCGGGAAGCTGGAAATGACGGCTTTTGCGGACGTCGTGGACTCGAAGTCCTTGTTGAAGAAAGAATGCCTGGTCAAGATGGGTTTGAGGCTATCAGGGTTCCAGCCGGCTTGGATTAGTACTCATCTGACACTGTTCGGGGTAATATGTACAATATTAAAAACCTGTTCCCATTCAATGACTAGTTCCCTTAGTCCCATTGAAGCAAACCTTCTCTACCAACCTTAGTGGTCTGGACATTTCAGACCTCCTCAACGACCGTTAAGTGGGTGTATTGAAAAATGATAGAGTATACATATTCACGTCGATAAAGGACATATTGGACCCTTACCCCCTTTCTTTCCTTAGCTTAGACAGAACTTGGCTTCCCTTGGCAGAAGAAGACATCAACAACTGGTAGATCACTGGTTCCCAGCACCACATAGAGGTGGCTGCCCGTCAATTTGTGACGTGTCACTGTCGGACTTAGCCGATGAACTGTCGTTACATACAACCCGTTAGAACAGGAAGAAAAACCAATCCCTCCAAGGCCCTGAAAAAGAAAAAAGTAAAAAAGAAAGAAAACGAACGGCACAAAACCTTTTTAGGGAAGCCTTGCGAGGCGAGAGAAATGATAGGCTGCCAGACAGGACGGGAACCCAGGGATCTCTTTAAGAGACGGTTGAAAAAGCTTAACTATTTAGGCTGTGACATTCCTCGGTCATCAATTGGTCAATGAGGTATATAAGCTTACAGCGGGAAGATAAAGGTGGGCCGGGGCGCAAATCACAAAATGGTTGCCTGGCGAAAGGCGTCACTGTATCGTAAATACACGGGCAGACGGTACAAGTAAGAGGCTGTAATACTGTATTATTGAGTTATAACGCTAAGTTTGAACCCTGGCCCCACCTAACCTTACTACTTAGTATACTCCGTAAGCAGGGCAAAACATTGATATGAGACATCTCGAGGAAGAAAACTATGTCTAATAATATCGAGGTAATTTTCGAGTCCCTGAGACGCATTAAACCTTGTACGTAATCTCAGGGAATCATCGCGGTAATGCATCAAGAATAACTGCCGGAATTAAAATAATCCAAGGAAAATTGGGAGTCAAGGAATACTCCTGATTTTCGTGGTAAAATACCGCCTCTCACCACAACTGGGCTGGGGCTGTCACAATCCCCCTTTTTCGTGATCCTACTGAATGTCCTCGGTATACACCAGTCCCCGAGTCCCTTCCTCTTACCGGCTGTTACCCTGGTGAGATGATTTTACTTCGTCTCTTCAAGCGACAAGTGCGCCGACTTGTCACCCAAGGTTGGCCCGCAATCCTGGCCGCCTTGGTCAGCGTGGTCATAATATGGGCGCTTCTTCTGTATTTCACGCTTGCTTACTATCTGGCCGATGACCCACGCCTTGTTCCGGATACATTTCGACATGCACGCCGGCCGATACTCGTCACGGCCCATCCTGATGATGAAACTCTGTTCTTTAGCCCCAGCATTCTCTACCATCGACACGATCCCCATGTTACGCGCTCGCTGCTGGTGATCTCCTCTGGTAAGTGGACTAGGGTAGCTTCATTGATTAGGTAATGCAGCATGATCTAATAGTTGAGAAATAATCAGGGAACTACAATGGCATTGGTGAACAACGCCAAGCGGAAATTCATAAGAGCTGTGCTGCGTTGGGGATCGCGCAGGATCACTGCGTAGTCCTAGACCACCCTAGTCTTCAGGATAATCCGAACAAATGGTGGGATGAGAAGTTGGTTCAAGATATCATCGCGCCATACATAGAGAAATGGAAGGCGGACCTGGTCAGTGTTTCTTGGAAATGACCCAACAGAAATCTGTGTCCTAACAGCGATGAATAGATCATATCATTCGATCAAGGTGGAATATCAGGTCACATCAACCATAGAGCTGTCAGTGCAGGCATAAGGTACGTTTGTAACTGAGCCTATCTTTCTCTTGTCTCCACATCGTTACGGTATGATTTGAATCTGATGGGCTTTGGTTGACCATCGACAACCCAGGAACTATGTTGTGACCAACGAGCATGCACCCCCGGCATATACACTGCAAAGTATTGGGCTCCTCCGAAAATACTCATCATTGATCGACCTGATACCCTCCACCATCCCATTCATGTGGAAGATCATTGAAGCCCTCCTTATACCTCCGACAAGCCCTGAAACCCTGGGTCCATCTCTCGTGCGAGAGACAGGGAAGGAGGGGGTGCTCTTGGTGAGCTCGTGGCAGACATATCTTGAATCGCGAGCTGCCTTTAGTCAACATGAGAGCCAGTATTCTTGGGACAGAGTACTATATTTAGTGGTGAGCCGGTACATGTGGTTTAACACACTGGAAAGGACCGGGTAGCATCAGTTCAATCCATAGCACGCGCTTAACGGAATAAATGGCAAGTAAGCCTTCTGTGAAAGGCTCTATCTTATGTTTTACATGTACTTGAAAAGGTATACCAGTTAATTGTTGCGATGTGAAGTTAAAAATATCATACATATGTGTAGAATGTGTATAATACACAGAAAAAGACCTGCCTACACATGCTTATGCGAAGGCTTTGGGGAAGGGCTTCTTGAGTCAGATTCGACGTCTTGTCGTGACGACAAACGACGCCGCGCCAAACGGCAGCACCAGACCAATGAGAGCAACATTCCAGTGGCAATCACAGCGATGAGTAAGATAACCTTCGGCTCGATATCCTTGAGCATGAGGATCAAACGGGCGTCTTTGGTGTGCCACGAGGAGGAGCCAAGATGTCGGAAGAGGGGAGTATCAACAAATCCGTTCAACATGTGCATGTTTGGGTTATCGTGAGGCCCAGAGAGAATGCGAAGATCCGATCGGTTTTCCTGTAGGGTGTACACGGTCCTTCACGGGCAGCTGGTAAGTCATAGGAATCCAGACAAGGGGTTCATAGACCATCGTAGACACTCACGAGGCATAGTGGCAGCCAGTGCTGAACATGATTGTCACATATGACAGAAGCGGCCACACATGATTAAACATGGGCAGACTGTCGACCAAGGATTTGATGAAGGGGTGGTTGGGTGAGGCAAGCATCATCCCAATCGAAAAGCCTGCGGGGTGGGCAGCTGGTGCGACGAAGTTGAACTGACGGAGAGGCTCAAGGGAACGTTTGCAGGCCAGGTCGAAGTCAAGAACAGCGCCTAATACCAGTTTATCGTCAGTCTACCCGTCTGGCTGGGAGAATGCCAACTTCACGGGTAAAATACCTCCGTACTTCTCCAACACCATATAACGTAGAGCGTCAACACGTTGGACCATGAAAGGATAGTTTTTCCACATATCGTAGAGATGAGGGTAGTTCTCCTCAACGAATTGTGGCGCATTGTTGTCATCCCAAAGGAAGGCTCTCCACGAATCATGCTGCTTGAGACAATCGGCTCTAGCTGCGACCCATTCTGTACGCGGAGAACTTGGACCTAGGTGAATATGATGTAGTCGCGCTGGAATCAACGGCCGCAAGCCCGCATCTTTTGTGGAGTAATTGGCTGGGAAGGACGAAAAGGTCACATCGAAATGGTCGCGTTGCTCAGAGATGATCGCTTGAGCCGAAGAGTTGGGCCACACGAACGGTAGTCGGAAAAGGTGGTATAGTCTCTGGATGGAAGGAGCTGATAGACACGCGATAATGAGTACCACAACAAGCACGATAAACACTCGAAGTCGACCTCGCGCCATAACTCCTGGTGAAGTGAGGACAAGATGGAAACCCGCTAAAGAAGGTTGGCAGTGATTGGCATGATAACTTTTAAATGTGTACAGATATTGCTGCCTACGGAGAAGTCAGGGTCCAGCACCGTATGGGCTAGTAAGGAGAGTCTCAGCTGAAAAGCCAGCTTCAAGGTTGAGAACGACTTGTGACTCCAGTGACCGTACTGGCATGTTATGGGATGTGTTCCAATCAACCTGATAGAACACACGAATCGTGAATGAGATTAAGCGAGCTGTTGATTAACTAGTAATTGGTGGTACCATTCCACGTGTTGGATTGCTAGGATATGTCAACTATTGGAATAAAATCGATGAGCCATAAGCATTACATTGGAGAAAAGACCCACAACAAACAAAATTCGTTGAACCAGAGCATCCTTGCTAGACATACCACCCCACAATATCTCCCCAATACGTACTGTGTACCTCTAGAAAACCGGCGTTCAAACATTAGGGCTCTGTTCAATGTTTCATCTTGAAGTGTCTTGGTTGAATCTAACTATAGGTGCTAATGAACTCTATGTGGTTCACGGAACCCGCTGAAAGTCAGAATTCAGGATATTTCAGCCGACGAGCATTACTGCGTCGTGTCATATATAGTAACAGTAGGGAATTACAACCTGGCTAAGCCTTGCTGTGAACCTAGGCGTTGTCTGACCTTACGACTCCAGAGTCGTTCTTAGTGTTACATACTATGACTTGTATTATAAATACCGTATTGTATGGTCTTGTATTATAAGTTACAAAAAAACAAACTTTGAAGAGAGAGCAAGTATTGGATGAACACGTGCACCCCTGCATTTCGTAATAAAATACTTTTAATTTCACAAAACGCACCCGGGAATGTAAGATGCACCTGCACCTCGCGGACCGCTTTAGCCTGCTCCATCCGGATCCCGCGGATACCGAAGAAAACTCCATAAAGCGTCCACCTTCCCACTACATCAATTGTTTACGGGGTACCTTTGCCCCCTTTCTGCCTTCATGCATGGCCAAGTTCCGAAGCAGATTGGTCGGTGGATCCGACTCGGGCCTAACCAGGATGTGGGATTTTTGACGTACATCACTCTCCTACTGGTAAGTAAAGTACTCTGATTCTCCACTTACTGTCTAACATATTCATCTTAGTTGAGTCTACAAAATATGACATCGATAATAGTATGTTTGATGGCCAGGAGCCTGAATTATGAAAGCTAAGACAAGTTGTAGTTGCAGCACAAAGTCCAGTCGCAACCGGCTACAAATAATGAAAAGTTTGATTATATATCTGGCATCATCCTGATTGAAATATTCAAGTTCACTATTTCTACAACTTGCCTGATGCGTTTCGACACAGACGCAGCCCCATCTCTGCGAGAAGTCATCCGGACCACACTACTTAATCCTTCAAGCGACGCTACCGTATCGGCATTACTTTTCACTGCGGCTACCATTTTACAAAGTGTGGGAGCAAATTCTCTGGACCTTATTCCTTACCTTGTCTTGTCCCAGTTCAAGACCATTTTAACGCCTCTTTTTGCGAGGGTGATATTGAACCAGAGATATGCCCTCAAGAACTGGCTCTTCATTGCCATGATGGCACTCGGCATTGTTTTGACTCAGCTTGGATCCAGCTCCGCCAAATTGAGTCCGAAAGATGTGAAAACCCAGGCGATGGTGCATGGAGCATTTGCCATGCTTCTCGCGGGAGTTTGTGTTGCTCTAGCTAGCTTATGCATTGAGAGAACCATGAAGAAGTCTGGTCATCTTTTTCTCTGCAACGCTCAGCTAGCGGCATATAGCTCCGCTTTTGCAATCATCTACTGCTGCTGGCTTACAAAGTTCACCTTTACGCATTTTTTCAGAGGATTTACTCCGCTGGTTTGGATCTATTTAGTGCTGCAAGTGTCAGGGAGCTTTTTGGTTGCGTGGTGTGTACAAAAGACCAGCACAGTAACCAAGAATTATGCTCAGGGTCTAGGGTTCGTCTTAGCCGTCCTTATGCCTCGACTAGTCGCTCATGAGCATATCGGTATTCAGGTAAGACGACGGAAGATCCACTGTATTGCGAGCGAACATTGCGCTAATTCCACTATCAGCTGCTGTCCGGAGTTGGTCTTGTCCTGGCCTCTGTACTTGGGTCGACATCTTCTAATAAAAGAAAACCGGATGTGGACGAAATAGGAGAAAAAGAAAACGATTCAAACCTGTACAAAGTGTAAAATATCATCTTCAATGTTATCAGCCTCGTCGTCAGGGAGGCACGACTCGTATATCAAGTTTTTGGGAAGCAATGCTAGATTCTTGCGCGACAGAGTGTTGATCTGTTGGATCCAGCCACAGATGTACAAATCACCCCGTCGCTCTTCGACGACAGGTAGCTTTGTTCGACAAATTCATATCAAATCCTAATACTCCTGGATTGGATCGAGGGGAATTGAGATAGCTCCAATTTCCGGTGGTAATGCGGAGATAAAGATGACGGTGTTCATGCAATGAGAAGGTGTGTCACACTATCATTTCTATACATGGTCACACACCTGAAACGACTCATCTGAATCAACCAGCCAGCACTTACTTTGCGAACACTATCTTAAGGCTTGATTCCCACTGCGGGACAGGGATGAATAGTGGGCACAGAATGAAAAGGTAGCTAAGGTAAATGTCTGCGTATATATTTCTGAGTATTTACCTGAAACTCTCCCTAGGAAATCAGAACCGGAAACCATAAATAAGAGTGCCATTACTCTTTTCCGGCATGTTGGCAACTTCTTTGGTGCCGGGAACCCGTGCTATTGATTAGCATCCATAAATATGGTACAGAGAGTCATCTTCATCCAAGTTATCATGATTGTACTCTCATTACTGTTGTACCACCCTGGGCCGTTGCTTTGTTGGCTAATATGATCATTTATTCAAAGAACTAAAACGTGTATTCTGCCTTCCAGGTGTAAACCATGGCGACGAGAACGAGGTTCGAAATTGCAGGGCCAGGGACTTTGATGATATGATTTAGAAGTGAAAGCCATGCCCCCAACTCACATATCATCTTCTGGGTTGTTTAATCGATGCGACAACCCCTGTTATTTAGTTGTTGTAGCTTTGATAACAGCGCTGATACTGCGAGCAGTGTAATCGATATTGAATTTGTTGAGCCCACTAAAGGAAAGTCACGTTAGCGTATGCTTATACCCAAGATATAGCCACGAAACATACGCGATAGATATCCTCCCAGAGTCCTGAAGATATACATGGTGTTCATTTCGGAGAAGAGTGACTTGTTCCTCCGACAGTCCGACATATCTAAATAAGGTTAATATGGGGATTCTCGTGGAGTATGATTTTGGTAAGACTTACGAAAACATTCCGTTTTGATCAGTGATATGCTTCCAGTCACCTGGTGTTTCCAATTCCTCCAATCTTTCTCGGAGCGCAATTCGACGACTCTTGAGTTGGTCCGCCATATGGCGTACTTCCTGTCGCCATTGGCGCTCCAAGTTATCATCTGATAGAACTGTTTCAACAATCTTAGACCCGAAATCGGGCGGCGCGCCGGACTCTGCTCGTGCGAGTAGACTCATATGCCTTTCAATTCTCTTTCCCACTTCCTCACTTGGAACCAGAATTGAGAGGATTCCAACGCGTTCGCTGTAAAGCCCAAAGGATTTGCCATATGTCGAGACAAAAATAAGCGGAATTTCTTGCTCGGCAAACAAACGAACGCTTTCGAGATCCGTATCAATATCCCCCGAGGCAAAACCGGGATATGCAGCATCAAATAAGGCCAGATGACCGCGCTGGGAGAAGATCGAGGCTAGCTCTCGCCACTGGTCTAGCGATGGATCACATCCAGTTGGGTTCTGGGCCCCAGATTGGAGAAGAACGACGGATTGAGCAGGTAACAATCTGATGGCCTCGGAAAACGCCCCAAAATCGAATTTGTTCGTCTTGCTGCTAAAATAAGGCAGAAAACTGGTCTTAATTCCTGCAGATCCGAACAGGAAAGGATGGTTCACTATAGCCAAGTCAGTGTTACTTTTTCTTATGTGCGATTAAACGACAACTTACACCAGGTCTCGCTTGGAAGGAAAATCTCGGGGTTCCCGTTCTCCTTCCACGGTCCGTAATGGTTTTTCAACATCACTGCGGCGACATGGCATCCGCCACATGCGCCAAGTGTCTGCGTCGAAACTATTCTAAGGAGAATTAGCTCTGGGTTATCTTTCTAGAACGCATGTCGGTTTTTTACCTTTTTTCCCGCAGAAGGCGATGATCTGGCCCAAAGAGCAAGCTGGCGCTCAAGTCCCTATAAATCTGGGAACCTAAAGAGGAAGGGCGATACTCATGATGCCAATCAGGGTCATTGAATATTCTCTTCTTTGCCTGTAACATGGATGTCAATAGTTAATGGTGTACTTGGGTATGTAGGATGGTAAAATCTAGGGTGTATATATACCTCTTTCACGCTTGGTAACACGTACGCTTTGCCTTCGTCCGTTTTATACACGCCCACTAGGAGATCAGTTCTGTTGGGATCGGTATCCGCTCGGAACTGCAGAATTAGAGCTTCCAGGCTCTCTAAATATGCTTTCTTAATTCGTGTTCATGAATGTGTCAATTAGATCATTTACCTGTTCGACCCGCTGGGACATCTTGAAAAGGATTCGCTGTTATGCTGCCCATTTTATTTCTGAGGGTGATATTTCTGAGGGTGATATTTCTGAGGGTGAATGAGAAAGAAAATGGGATAACTGTCAGATTTATATATGCGGGGAATGGCTTGGAGTGATATGTAGCACGCTATTTCAACACGCCATCATGTCGCAATATTAGAAATGGGCTTATCAATCTACCCGAATATTTTTTCTCCATCAGCGACCATTAATATAATCAAACTGCTCCTGATATCGGGGCGCTCTTCGCTAATGACCGGAACTAAATAAATATGTGGAACATATGGCACGTTCACACTGTATAGTGACCCATACTGATGACCTCCGCAACGTCCAGGTGGGTACGGGAAATCAGGCGTGATATTTAACCTTTTTGAGTGATAGATAAACTGGAAGAAATCATAGCGAAGATGAATATATAGGCCATGAGAATAAATCTAACCCAATGATTGAACGTACAAAAAGAAAACTAGAACCATACAACAGCATGTCTGAGATGGTTACGCAGCGCCCACAGTTAGGCAAGGGAATCTCGACGCTCCATTCAGGGCACTTAAACTAGATAAATTCCCCCTATTAGGAAGGTCATGGATTGTCGGATATACCGGAGAAATGGTTGAAGTTTGAGAAGCTAGCGGGGGATTTCAATTATAACAGCGAGGATAGGCCATGATCATATTTCCTCCGTCCTAGTATCACCATATCATAAAGCGCTGAAGGTGGTCTGGTATACAAACATATATCAATGCAAAGACCAATGACTATCTGAAATGGTCAGCTGGCTTTATTGTCTTGTCGCTATAATCACTTTAATAGTCTACGAGCGATACTTAGTATTTCTAGACTCGGCGCCATTCCTCAAATGATTAACCTAAATGCTACGTCGAAAAAAAAAAGATTAAAAACATTAAAACATAAAAACATACAACAGTGAGGATTCGCTGGTGGTCACCCACCCAACTACTAACTCACCGGCGTGTGGCTTAAGTACGGCTGAGCGGACGGGAAGCCCTGTTTTCCACACCCTATGGTCGTATGTGATTGATATTACACCGCGGGGGATTATAGAATCAAAATCAATGAGTTCCGATCCATGTGAACAGAGTGAGTGCGCTTTAGACTTTAGACAGGTTGAGAATCAATGTGACAACCGGGTGAGGGAGCAAACTAACACAGGGAACCCAATCAGGAGAGCAAGACCTTCTTCTCTGTGAGCAACAAGACCGTCAAATAAGTGGCCCAGAAGCCCAAATCTGGTGTTAAACCCAATGGTCGTATATCAATCATATGACGTGTATAAGAGAATGATAGCATACATGTCCATATTACGCCGTACTTGTTAGATAGTCCCGTCTCCCGTGCTTGTTGCTAGACTTACTGTTTCCTACATACATCTCATGCTCTAGATATTCTTGTACTTTCATGCATTCAACAATGGATCCCATACTACCTCTCTCTAGCCAGTAGCTGTGATCGCATAGCTAGCCCATTCACTATTTTGACGTCTGTCTATACTATAGATGTTCCACGGAGTACTAAACAAAGAGAGGGTGATTAGCACTGGATTATGCATGAGCTAATCCAAAATATTATCCATTGACATGATATTCTATCTATAAGTCTATTATTTCATTACCAAATTATATCTAATCGAGACTCTCTTCTCTCCACCAATCGATTCTGAGCTTCCCAATCTTATATCTTCACTGCGAGAAAGAACAGTACCAAAGGACTTCTAGTCCCGGGTAAGTTTTGCACGCAGTTTCCCACCAAACCAGTAGAAGACATATGGAATCAAGACCATGGCAACACCAATAAACGCAAGTAGCCAAGAAGCCCACTGCAATCCAAGTCGATCATACATCTGCGTAGTAAACAGCGGGAAAGCTGCGCCGCCACCAGAGCGCAGGAAAACCTTGGCAGCCAAAGCCGATGCAGCGTATTTCTGGTACGAGTCAATGATATAGTTATTCACTGCGTAGTAGCACAACACCATGCCAAAGCCAAAGGCGATTCCTGAAGAAGCAGGTCCAACCCAGATAATATGCTTGTAGGAGGTAGCACCTAAGATGAAGAAAGCGATCGGGATGAAAGGTGCACCGAGCAAAGCTGCGTGCAGTCGGTCTTCTGGTGTTGGAGATCGTAAGCTACAGATTTTCCGGAACTTGCCCTCGATGACTGGAGTGACAACTAGGGCGAAGCCGGCACCAATCAGAATGGGGATGAACATGAGTCCGATCTGTCCGTCGTTGTAGCCATGGAGCTTAGTGAAGATCACCGGATATGCGAAGAAGAAAGCGTAGAGCATTGCGTAGATCAGGACGATATACATGCACATGAGGTCGAGGACGGGCTCGGTCATGATCATAGTGATGGGTCTGATCAGGCTTGTGCGAGCGATTTCTTGGAATGTGAGCTTCGTCTTTTCTTGCTCTGTGATGATATTTGGGTTTCCGGTTTCTTTGCGCAGTTTAGCGGCGCGGCGCTTGAGAATCACTGGAGCATATGTCTCTGGCACTAGGCCGATCATAACCATGATAGCACCGGCAAAGGCTAGGTTCACCCAGAAGAAGAGGTCGAGGCGGCCGCTTCCAACATTAATCCAACCCGTCACGATGGGGCCAAGGACAGGACCACAGTAGGGTGCAGCGGCGAAGTAAGCAATAGCCATACCGCGCTCCTCAATGCTCCAGATATCAGCGATGGTGCCACCAGCGAGAGAAAGACCCGAACTAGAGAAAACACCACATAGGAATCGGCAGGCGAGCAAGCAGCCGATGTTTGGGGCCAGAGCGCATGGGATGTTGAAGATGACATATAGACCGAGAGAGATGATGTATACAGGTCTTCGGCCGATAATCTCAGACAGCGGAGACCATAGTAGAGGACCGACGGCGAATCCACAAACCATAATTGAACAGGTCAGGATTGCAACTTCAAGAGAGACATTGTATTGTTCTTCGATCAAGCCCAATCCTCCGGTGACGATGGAGGACCCGAATGCGACGCATACCACAAGACTCGAGGCTACAAGAGTGATGTACCATCGATAAACACGGGACCAATTGTAAGGGTGTTCAGGGTCATCAATGGTGAAGGTCACAAACTCCGTGGGGCCTTTCCCTCCTTTCTCCAAATCGGTGTCGACCTCGTTTGGTGTGTGGGCTTTTGTGGATGAGGTAGAAGCACGAGACTGGACCTCCTTAAGCGTCTTTTCGGGAACAAGACCGGTACTGGTTTCAACGGTGTATTCTTCAGGAAACACAGGGTCCGTGTTATGCCCAATGGCTGGATAGTTGTAGTCCAATCTTGAAGGAGTTTCAGAAATACCCCGGTTGCGGAGGCTGTCTTGGGTTTCAGTCCTGGAGAGATACTGGGAATGCAATGGCTCTGGAGCCTCTTCTTCTGGTATTGGTGCAGACATAATGATGAATGTGAGAGCTCAGAAGGCTGGAAGGACTTTTGAGGGTATTCAAATGGTTATGCCAAATGTTTGAAGGTAACATGTCAAATACTTATACTCCCAAGAAGGCGAAAGGTATACTTGCAAGGCCGACCGATCTCCGACATAGACCGGGCGATCACCGGGAATTCGGCATGGAAGTGACGATTTAAGCGGCACAATCTCGGTCCGAGCGATCGCCGAGAGCACTCTTGCTATAAAATATATCATCCACGGCTGCAGCTGAATCTAGCCCAACTTTAGCTTCGTGATTACACTGCCGATATGCCGGCCTAGATGAGTCAAACATGATCGGAACAGGTTTTTTTTCCAAAGATGATCCTTTTTCGGCCCGAACCACTGACAGCATTCTTTGTTTGAGACAATGAGCCCAGAACATTTAAACATTTATTACAAGCAGGGATTTCGCCGATTTCCGGCTCGCAAATCTAAAAGATGTCAGGAATACTCCTTCATATTCCATCTTGATCCTCTTCCAATTCTTGATTAGGCGACGATGTCTAGCGACAAGGAACACGATAAGCCCCAGGGTATCATCACCTGGTGAACACACCCTTCGAATGTGACTACAACCTAGTCTCTTCTGAATATATCCTATGAAGTGTCCAAATGGCATTGATGAAGTATTCATCACCCTCAAGAGTGCAGGGAGAGAGAGAAGAGCAGGATATTTATCCCCCGTAGATTTAGCAAACAATCTAGCAAATGACAACGATCTCAGTCTGAGATCAAATTAGCAAACAACAGGAATGGGAGGATCGAACAATTACAATGGTAAAACGCAGAACTCCGGTCTTCGGCGTTTAATCTTATGCCGCAGAAGGATTCCCATTCGGCCCCACAATATAAGCATTACTGAATGACTCTTTTTCACTCAGTGTATGTTGTATGTTGTATAGATTGTGGAGCAGGTCTAATTTAAGAAATGCCCCAATTGGTGTCAGTATGCCACCAACTCCCACCAACTCCCCACTATGCTGGAAGGCCGGTGTCTAATTCAACCCATAGTCAAGAAGTATGCTCTCTAGAGGTTCTCTCTATGTTTTTCTATGCCTCATTACAATAAGCACCTTGATATACATCCCGTTAGTGGAGCGAGTGGGGATATAGAGGCCTAAGGCACAATCATATTAGGTCATTATGACGTGGACCCGTGGAGAAGCCTGGAAGGAGAAATCCAAGGCTCTACCTGTCTGGTTGGAGATTTCAGGAACCTGTTTGCTAAAGCATTTGTTCCTATGGAACTTATCTACATTATACTATGTATGGCGTAAGTCTCACTAGAGGAGATCTAGACCTAATCAGTAAGAAATTGGCCTCTATCCGTGGAAATCTGGGTTACTACAGAACAAGAAGAGCTTTCATGTAAAAAAACTAGAAGGCTTTGGAGACTGGACCGTCTATATATAGGTGATATCGAATACTTTTAGTAATACCGAAGTATTGAGTCTAGCCTTTGCAAGAGAACATTAATTGCCTTGTGTTCTATGCCAAATTTTAGATGCTCAGCATAGCAATTAGATTCAGTCTTTGCCACGCTGGCTTTGTACAGACTAAGCAGAACAAAATCATTGATAGTAGCGTCAAATGCCATGCGACAATCTATTTTTCAGGATTAAAGTTGGCCAATGATTTACATAGAACTGGAACAGTCGGCCGCTTAGGCTTGAGATTATAGGATTTCGGCAATCTGAACATTAAATTGGTTTGGTTTAATCATATCAAGGACATTATAATTTCTATTTAGAATGGTAGCATATATACTCAAATAACTATTCTCAGGCTGTTGTATTCGTTTAAATGTTTTTGTGTCTATCCTTTATAGCAGCACCCCAATCGAGGGTCGATATAGATTAGACGGCTATGCCTGAATAGTGCAGTAAATACATAGTTGGCATCTTAACTTCAGCAATAAGGGGGTCACTACCTACTTTGACATTTTATGTTCTAAGAGATATATAGATTCACGTGAGATCTTCGCTCCTTCTTCATGTTTGTTTTCACAATTTCTTTGTCGACCAGCAGATTTTGCACCAGCACCCACCATATTCACGTGTTGATCCCTTTTGTTTATCGATAATCCATCTTCATCCATCCACTTTCAACTTTTCCTTTTGCTGATCTCGTCGTTAAAATGGCTTCTATTGGCTTTGCTGAGCCTACCCTCCTCGAACTTGTCCCACCTCTCGTCGGCGAGTCTAATTTCTCTACGTGGACTACTTCACTCAAGTGGACCCTTGACTCGCGGGACCTGAGATATTACGAACTTCTCACCGGCGTGTGGACCGAACCCAGTACAGCCGACCCCACACAGCCCACCCCCAGCGAAGTGGAGGCTCGTACCCAGTGGGATACTGCCAGTCGTTACCTGCTCCCTTTACTTAACGCCACCGTTCATGAGACGGTCAAGTTCTACATCCTTGACGCCAATAACGCACGTACCGCATACGCCAACCTCCACCGCGCCTTCGCAGCCCGGTCTTACGAAGCCGGCTTCTCCAATTTCCTCAAGTTCATCAACACAACATACACCTCAAATAAACCCCAGGCGTTCGTCAACGAGTGGCGCATGGCCCTCGGCGTGCTGCAAGAGTGTAACTCAACTAAGCTCACGCCACTTCTCATCTTTTATCATTTCCTGAATGCCGTCAGCGCCAACCCGGCCGCGCACCCGTGGCTCGACGGCTTTCTCAATTCGAAAGTTTCCACGGATACAACTATCGAGTCAACCTTCGCGGATTTCGTCGTTTCCGAGGATCGACGCCTTAACAGTCTCAACCAAGCTCACTCTTTTAGCTTGAACAAACATCACCATCCTCTCCCTTTCTTTTGTCAGTTTCACAAGCGTCAAGCCGGCCATTCATCTGAGAACTGCTTCCGAAACCCGGCCAACCTAACCCAGGGCCCTTTGAATAAAGTTGCCGCGGCTCCCGCTCAGCAAACAGTCATGGAGGAGCTGCCTGTCACGCCGAGCAACATACCCACCAACTAGGGACTTCATTTGTTGGGGATTTCATGATACTGTTGCTTACGGGGAGGTGTTCGAATTTGATAGTTCGTCCAGAAGTTAGCCTCGCCAAGAATCAACTCTTTTCGCATGTTACCATGGGCTTTGATATCTCGCTTCTCGTAGTTCTCACGTGGCATGGAAAACTAACCTTGGAAGTCACTGTAATATGACAAAGCATCGACGGCACGAAGCGCCGGTGGCTTGTGTCCGATCTTGCTCGCAGTTTACTTTGTAATATGAGTACTTTAGGCCGGAATACATCAATGCTACAACAGATAAGGCCAGAACATTTCAAGTCCGAACCTCGAATAGTCGAATCAATAAGCTTGAATTCTCAGTTTATTTGTCTTCTTCGTAGTCCACAAATATTACTTTTATGTCGTTTACTATATTTTTCGCCCTTCTTGGTCTTCACTTCAAAGTGCTGGATATACTGAATGGGTGCTCCACTCCGTACACATGCCTAATATATGTCTCACGTCTCTCACTCTTTAGTTATCTATTGCATAATATAATCCTGTACTATGTAATAACAAGCACATACGACCATAGGGTGTGGAAAACAGGGCTTCCCGTCCGCTCAGCCGTACTTAAGCCAAGTATTCTACACAGCCAATTCTCAATGCGCCCTCAGCACCCAAGCGGCACTGTTGGGTGAGTGTGGGTCATACGGATGAGAGAGGTGTGAACGAGGTGACAATTCTCACCCAGGGGGGTGATCGGGGCTAACCTACTAAAATCAGTGCCCGTTTTGAGCTCAAGTTATGAATACAAGCACTGATGTCTTTCGTGTGACAAGGATGTTCTAATCCTGAAGAGAAAAGAGTATAGTCGACAAAAACACTGAAGTTGGGAAGGAGGGAAAAGAAGGAAGAGAAAAAAAAAAGACAGAGACCATACTAGACAGGACCTCAATTGTAGAAGGTTATGATATTCTCTACCAGCAAAGATCCTCTGAAAACAACAATGTTCTTGCGATAAGTCTTCGCGGTCGATCAATTTGCAGCAAAATTCAGTTTGCTGCAAGTCGTTATTTGGAACGATTGCATATTCTTGTGAGCTTCTCAGAGGGGGCAACACGTCTAGATAATCATTACTGAATAACGCAAAAGTGTCATGGACAGTCTCCATTTCATTCGGTAACTAGCTACCCAGGTTACAGGCTCAATTCTGCCCAATTGTCTTGGACCTGTTGTTCTAGCGCGGGGTAACGGGATTCCTCTCCAACACCAACTCCTCAGGAATGGCCAAGTGCCATCCATTTTTATTTAACGATGAACTCCACTGAATACAGCCTTCGCTTGAAGTGGGCGGACCGGTTGGGAATACAGTTTCTTGGCCCAGTAGAGCCCGATAATTGGCCACAAACCTATAGGAGACTATTCGCGGATATACAAAAGCTCGGCCGTCACGAATACAACAGTTTCGTCGAGGATATCTCGATTGACTCCATTGAAAAGCCATGGAGAAACTCAACACGAAACCGCGCTGATCGCCTGTCGCAACTGGCAGATAACGCTTGGAGAGAACGGAGGAATGAAAGCGGCTGGAGGTTTGCCGTCGAGAACGAGATAATGCACCGATTCTCGGTCGAGGTTGCTTGGTGAGACCAGGAAGAAGATTTAAGTCTGGAATACCTTTAACTAATAACACTCAGTCCGAAATGTCGCAACAAATTGTGGGAGTCTGAGATACCCGCGGCTACGGACGGGATTCACGTGCGGGCGGAGTTGCTCGAAGCCCGACGCCAGAAGCGTAAGCCATGTCGATGTCCACCTATTTGGGGGCAAAGCCAGTATGCCTAAGCCTTTCCTATTCCACTTGGCGCATAGTCATTTACCGAAACCTAGGTATGACAGTGGTATCAGCATGCTCTTCTCCGACCGAGCAGAGCAAAAAATCAGACATGATCCGCCTTTGCCTGTGCTCTCTCAACCTGAAAAGCTGAAACGTTCGGAAGCGCCAGACCGAGTCTATGGATTAAAACAAACAGACAACTTCAAGCTCCTTTTGGATTCGGATGATAAGCGCGGTGCTGCAGCTACGCCCTGTCCGTCGCTACGTGAAGCCATGGAAGTCAGTCCATTTGAGCCTGAGGGGGAGCCCCTGCTTTATCCATTTCTTGTCATGGAAGCAAAGTCAAGTAAAGGGGCAGACCGAGGAGAGGTCAACATGCAGACAGCGTTTGTAATTAGGCGCCTTTTAAATGTGCAGCTCAACCTCAAGTTAGCGACGGGAGAAGAAACGCAGTGGGAATCAGGGCCGATTGTCTGGTTCTTGGCTTGGCGGGGTGAAATTTGGGAAGTCTCGGCGGCATTTGTAAATGAATCCGAGATCAAATATGTGAGTAAAGTTTCATCTGTTATATGATGAAGATTCATTCCGAACTGAGACTTTCAAGCCAGTAGTTGATTTGTGGAGTGGAAACATTCGCAGCAAAAATGGTGCTTTGCAACTTCTTCTGATCATGGATTACATATTTGATTGGGCTCGCGATGTTTATCGACCCGCAATATTAGGCGAACTGAACACGATATCCACAGGCGATATTTCAACGACGGATACGAACGTGTTTTCGACAATATCCCGAACCCGAAGCATCTCCAATTGGTTGAACCAATCACAAGCTACACCAGCACCGACGATTCAAGCTCCAATCGCTAGTGTGCACCCCAGTCTGGAATATTTGAACATCATTTGTCCAGAAGGCGCTATTCGGGACGCGTCCATCCTTGAATCACGCTATCTCGCACTTCAACTCTTGGAAGGTGACATTGACAACTTTTTGCTCTCGTTTGCATCAACCGAAACAGCTCAAGTGTGGCTTCACGACATGTTAAAATGTCTTTCTAGTTCCTGGAGAGTCAGAGCAGAGACATTAGGTGCCTTGGAAAATATTTGGACGACAGAGGTTCGACTTCGAGAAGGATATCAACATGATGAGATTTTCTATGTCAAAATTGCAATTCACATGTTTGTGTCTCATATATGGGAGCCCACTCGTCAGCTCACATGTTTTTACATTTCGGAAGGAGCTTTGCGGAGACTTCTTTCTAAATTGGAACCTCTCGAGAATCTTGAATTGCATCAAAATCCAATCATTTCTACTTCAACAATCGAGGTTCTGCTTCATCGCATACTGAACCAATCGATAATGGACAACTTAACAGCAGCAGTCTCCATGCTATGCATTTCCAGCTGCTTCTATAAAAGAGATGGGCTAATACCTGATCAGTTATTAGTGACTAGGTCCGACAATCTACGATTTGGTTTTCTGATCGACAAGTCCCCTTATCTACTTAAATTGGTATCATCCATCTACCAGACTCATAAGATTGGACGAAGAGAGCCGTGTGACTCATATATCGCCTTTTCACGTCTTCGAAGTAAACAAACCATCGTGTACAGAGGTGATGAGATACAGATGTGGCCCAAACTACCGCCTCTTGTGCGTGAGGAGCAATGGAAATGTGTTTTGGTCGACGGAATTTCTGACAGCGAAGATTTTCCGAAGCGTGGCCTTTATGTGTTCGACAGGTCGCCAGATCATGATGAAATTCCTGAACTTCCGAGCATAATGTGGAGGCATGGTTCATACTTTAAAACCTTACAAATTTGTGCGGATATGTGGGATGAGAAACACTTCCAATACTTGAACCGTCCTATCAAGCTCAGAGGAGAGTGGAGCTCCAAAGCAGAATCAACGCCATTTGTCAATTGGAGGCAGATATTGGGAATGCAGCTCAAAATAGAGCAAGGAGTTGGTCTCCCAGGAAATAGCTCCTTCGAACCCATGATTATTGGCTAGAATAAAAACATGTATTCTGCTGCACCAGATGCTATCGGCTGAGTTGGAGTAAGAGTGTTTATCTCGAAATACTTCTAAAAATTTGACGTACCAGTAACTCTTAATGATAGACAAATAAATAGAGTCGCAGGCTGAACAACAAAAACAAGATCAGGAGATGGACATTATAAGAACTAGAAAAGGCAAAAGCCTGCCAAATAAAAACAAAGGGTAAGCAATCTGAAGTCTGAACTCTACTCGGTTTGCCCCGGAGTAGTGATGCACTTAGAATGACATAATCGCCCATTATTCCGTACCAGGACGAAAGCAGGCGGCAACGGAGATTTCCTTGCAGCCCTGGACTTCCCCTCCAGGAGGATAAACCACAGAAACTTTCAGGTTTCGACCCTGAAGCTCTACCAGGAGATCGTAATAAATTTCGTAATGTTTCCCATGCCTCGGACCCTTTGCTTTCAACGGGTACTGTTCTTTTGCTTTGGTAATGTCAAAGACAACCGTATCTACCCACCGAGAACCTATTTGGTGTATGGATTAATTAGAACACAGGACACTGAATCAATGGATACAAACCGTAATCCATCACTCACCAGCATTTTTTGGATGGTCTACAGGGTAATGGTCTTGGGGATCTTCGATCAATGCATTGTAATAAATGGACTGTTTGATCACCCACGGCTGACCTACTGGAATGACTCGGTGGTTTCGCTCTCGAACCGACTCATTCCAGTCCATGAGATTCCCCTACAAGCATTGAGTATTGGGTCTCGTAGCGAAATAGGAACAACTTACTTTTTTGATAATCCACTGCGCGGTTCCATAGACATAAAGTCTCTTGTTATGACTGTTCCTGTCGCCGGTAGTCTGGTTATGGGATGGAAACTTTTTGGGATTATATGGCTCGCTTTGGAGTATGCCAATATTTGCAATAGCTTTACGCAATGGCCCTTTGCTTTTATCCACAGCGCGATATACCGTTCCTCGCGACACAGTCGTTTCAAAGGCACTGGAATAGGACGGTCAGCCATGAGCCAAAATAACAACAAATATGCAATATCTTACCCAGGCTTCGGGCAAACTATCTTAGGATGCGAAAATCTTTGTTTCAAGAAATTCTGAAGAGTCTTTGACTGAGAGTACCCACCGAAAAGAATAATTTTCTGTTTTGAAAGATTTAGACGGAGACTACCACTTTCAAGCCACGCAGTCTTACCTGTACCCTCACATCAATATTTGCACAGGCATCAAGCTGTTGCTTGATGAGATCGGTGATGCCTTCCAGGCTTGGTCGAAACCATTCCATGACCCGCTCCCTAGAGAAAAAACAGTAACTTTTAGTGACCGGCCTCCTTAGTGGATGGAGAAACGCTGAGCTCTTCAGACCTCTTAACAGTAATCATGCCTTTTCCAAATCCTTTGGAAGGATTTTCTTCCAAGCCATGCAGGTCCAGATAGGCAGATCCTACCAAACCCTCCCCGGAATCAAAATTTCGTTTTAGCTCGTTCTCAAATTTGCGAAACAGATTGTAAGAGAGCTGGTGCTCTATTGATGTTCTGTTCTGAAAAAAGCATGGCTCTTCTCTCAGCATCCCTAACAAGTCATCTTCCATGGACCGATTAACACAAGTTGAACCATGATTTTTACCTGTGTAAAGATGTTAGAAGAAAGATCCCCCAAGCAGATGAAGCTTACCGGATGGTGGGACTGCTTCCATCAGCCGAAATGGACTTTTTTGCTCTACTGTGTAGGTCGTCACATCCTTTTTCGCCTCGTAAGCGTGCTGCACGTCGTAGCAGTCCTCTTCAATAAACTTACTACTGTGCCTCCCCCAGCATCGCATACCATGAATGTCCCCCCTCTCTTTATCCTCGAAACAGTCAGCCTCAGTTCGAAAATTCACTGATATGGATATAACTGACCGATACATTGGTACCGCCGACTATGTCTAGGGCAAATGCAGATGCAGCTTCGGGCTCGTTTATTATAAATAGGCTCGATACTTGGCCAAAGTTGACCACGGTTGCAGCTTCACGAACGATATGTTGCAATGACCACGAAGCCTCGATGGGCCATCCTGCAGGAACAGACAGAGAAAGCTCAACCTCACTTGATTCAGTAAAGTTAACCTGATCCTTCAGAAAGTCCTTTGCAAACCGAAAAACCTCAACCAGATAATCTTCAACGGCATCAAGGACAGTTTTACCCAAATGGCTCAAGGTGTCCCTCACCTCTCGAAGTTGGCAGCCTGCTCCATCTTCCTCTTTCGATTCAGGTTCGGCTAACAAAAGTTTTGTGAATCTTATCAGCCTGCCGGTCTTATCTGATACCCCTCCACTGTAATGAAATTGCTCCAGTTTCTGGCGGGCTTGATACCCCCAGTAAAATTTATCGTCAAGGTATAGGCTTTCACTGGGAACTTCTCCTCTCTGCTGATCACGACCAGCAGATGGCCAATCGGTAATGTCCTTGATTTTTTCCCGAGGTACCTTCGCAGGGCGCTTGTCTGAGTTGAAACGGCAGTATGATACTGAGGTCATGGTTGTTCCAAAGTCCAGGCCTACAATGTATGCCATATTATCATGACCGTTCTTCCTCCTATTTGGTTTTCTTGTTGGTGTTGCGGGTCGAATACCGATCGAGTCGCTGTCTGACACAGATGGAGTGACTGGGGCTTCATTTGCGTCCGAAATTTCTTGGAAGACCCGTTTTCTGTGCGCCAAGGCAGTCGACAATCTCGAATTTCCTAGCATATTGAGGACCACTTGGAAGAGATCAGGAACAGCCTGTGAGAGAAACCCAACAGCGAGCAGCAAAACGCACAAAATAAAACACTGTTCTCCTACGCAATCACGTGGGCTTTCTGTACTAGCAAGGATCTTGTTGCTACTAGCGACTAGTTCGGAAAATTGAGTCTGCCTACTGTTGGCCCCCGAATCCCCGCTCCCCCTTTTTTTCATGCAAAAGCGGCTTATTGGCGACATTTGAACGTCCATGGTATGACTCGACCTTCCACATAAGTTTCTCTCACCGCAACGAACTGCTATCATTCACGATGAGCTTGGCATCACCCAGCAAATCTCCCACCCAATCCAATTCCGAAACACCTGTTTTCTCTGAACAAAGACAGTCGGAATGGTGGTGGCGCTGGGGAACCGAGTCTCCGAATCAATCTTTCAGCGCAGACGTATTAACTCAAAAGCGTCACCGAACCAAATCACGACGCTTTCCAGAGCCGGAAATTTATTCAGGGGAAGCAGAGGCAGATGCTCGAAAGCGAATGCGACTCCTTGGATCCTATCCCGACGACCGTATCTCTACAAGTCAGACTGTATCGGATTTGGGATCGGAAGTATGCAAATCATTGGCTTGGAATACTACGAAATTACTGATAATGGTTGATTTTAGTCTCGGGTCACTTCCTCTTCCTCCCATAAAATGCTGAGAGCGTGTAATGATAATGAGATGAGCGAAGATGCGCCGATATCGAAAATTAGCAAAAGTCCACCTCTGGTACTCATCAGTACTAAAAGCAAAAGCGCTATAGAGGGAGACGGACACAACGCAAAGCAGATCGAACGCCTAAAGCGAGAAATAGATCTGCAGAGCATACATCATACAAGGAAGACGTCAGCTTTAGAAGAAGACATCAGATATTTACAAGAAGAAAATTTCGAGCTATGTCGCAAGCTGCATTGGTACAAAACACAGTACGAGGCGAAGAAAAAAGGGTCGTGTCCTTTGGAAGAGATAGAGGGACTGAGTGCAGAACTTGAAAGAAGAAATATCGAGATCGAGGAGAAGATCCGGCAGAATTCGTCACTTGAAGATCAACTAAACACCGCAGAAGGATTGAGCGCTGTACTAAAAGACTCGCAAGCTGGCAATGGTGTGTCAACGAGGTTCTCAGAGGATTTGACTCGGCTTGAAACTGCAATAAACCAAGCGGCTTTACTCCTTTTTCAATGTCTCTCTGACCAACAGCTTTTAAAAGCGCGAAGAAAGCCACGCAAACATCCTCAGCTAGATGCACTGATTAGGTCAAGTCTTGGGAAGATGAGTGTTCTGTCTTCTGACTCAAAACTTGCCTTTTCCGCCCTAATATTCGGGTTTATACGAGAGCGAGTCTTTTACTCAAGCTGCTGGGATGCTTTGCAGCTAGAGGGTTATATGTTGAGGGGATATCAGGCAGCAATAAAACGTATCAGTAAGTTCAAGGCGCTATATTTTGCCTGGTACCACTTCTGACACGCGGGAAAGCTCCGCGGGGCACTCTCGAAGGGTTCCATAGGGCAGCTCTCGAGCTCATGTTGGAGGAAAACCATCCGTTCCGAGATTGTTGGGTTCAGTCGCACGCTGAAGAAGTTCAGCGTGAGCTTTTGAACATTCTTAATTCATTGCTTGAAACCTCAAAGCTGGAAAGCTTTGAAAAAGATATTCAGAATGCCCTGAACCGAGTCTTCACAAGTGCATTTTGCTTTCGTGCTCGCTGTGTGGCCCCTATAGGAACTCGCTACGAGCTCATGCAGGCCAAAGCTGGAGACGTATTTGACCACGAACACATGGAAGCTCGAAGGCCTGACGGAAGCAATGTGTCAGTTCCTTGTGGAGAAAATCATCGTGTTAAAATCTGTATTCTCGGTTGCCTTGTTTCCCACGTATTCGAAGAATCATCACTCAACGAAGATACATTCAACACGATGAGTCAGCCATTTGTGTCAGCCAAGCAGAGAGATGGGGTGACTGAAAGTTTACGAAAGGGGGTCCTGAAAAGTGGAAAGGCAATTGTTATTTTAGAAGAGACGAAACCATAGGTCTCCAAAACGATACTTTTCTTGGGGCGTCACAAAATCTCACAGTGATATATCGCTTTTATCGATTAAACAAAAAAGGAGTTAATTGTATACATCGTGAGTAGATCTGAGAGGTCTAATATACCGAATTTGGATTGGGGTATTTGTTTATGTTATCCACGGGTATATGCAGGTGTCCGGGGCCTGAACGGTTTGGGGTAGTCAAGAAGAACATTATGATGCCAGTCCGTGCTGCTTTGTTGTCTCGCTACTAACTCTGGGCGAGTTCTCTTCCTTTTGTTTGTGAGTGGCGCTTATTTTTCTCACTTAGGCGGTGCTTAGGCTATAGACTGCTGGCACTTAACATAAGATCTTCTCTGAATTTCCCCTATAAAATCTAGTTAGATAGCACCCTTCCGTATGAAATGGCACATACGACCATAGGGTGTGGAAAACAGGGCTTCCCGTCCGCTCAGCCGTACTTAAGCCACACGCCGGTGAGTTAGTAGTTGGGTGGGTGACCACCAGCGAATCCTCACTGTTGTATGTTTTTGCAACTTTTTTAAAAAGTGATTAGTTAATTTGGCAAGTCCCTTTTGCTGACCTCCTTGGCCCCATTCACCTAATGGCTATTCAGGTCCGAAGGCATGTTTCCTGTAATATAATTTCTTTTTTAGGGACTATAGTAATATTGCCTAACATTTGATCGATATAAATATGTCTTTCCCTAAACCCTTACTTTAAATAAATTTATAAGAGTCTTATAACACGTAGTCTATACTGTGAATCATATCTATTAACACCATATAGTGCTGTAGTAAGTACGCTAGCGGGAAGATAAGTAGTAGAAAATAGCTATGTAACATGGATAGAAGGTATATATTAGTGTCTGAGCAGTGGCACCCTGAAATAGAAAGTGCTTGTCTGGAGTGGAAGCTACTTTAGCTCGTGACTGTACTGTGGTAGCGTGTGACTTGTACGAATAGAGAATTGGGTAAATTGCATACCACGATACAGAAATACATACATAGAATCAAGACAAACAAAAAGCAACACAAGACACTAACTTTTTGAAGGTTGATCAGTTCCTTCTCAAACAGGAATTGCTAGGTGCTCGTGACTAAAGGAGAGAAGGTCATCATTGGCCTCGGCCTTGCCGGCCCCAAATGACTGCACATTCCATTTGTCAACACCATCAACTCCCTCCAGGTCGTTCGCGAATGCGGCGAAGAGATCCTTATTAAGCTGCTCATACTCCGAATAGTCCTTGGGCCACTCTCCAAGGCGCTCAACGGCAAGTTTGAGCATATGCAAATGCTGTCGGACATTCTTCCCTTCTTCTGCCTTTTCGCCTGGGCTGGAGGCGGACGAAGGGGATGAAATGCCTGAGATAACCTCCATGTCCACGTCGTCCGCGGACGGACCAGTGAATACACGCAATGCATTCTCGTGCAAAGCGGCTGCTTTCCGATAGTACCTGTAGGCCAGCTCGCGCCGACCCTTCTGGCTTTGATAACCTTGAGCCATGCTGGTGTACATCTGTGATAGGAGAACTGTCATCTCGACGGTACTTGGGTGGCGGGGTCCATGGACCCGAGCACAGTTGTAGACAAGATCCTCCGCGAGTCGGACGGCTGCAGTGTAATCGTTGATGAGATAGCGGGTAATGACCAGCATACGCCCGAGCGCAAGCGTATATGCATGTTCCGGCTGTGACGAAGCGTGGGCCTCCCGGTTATTCCAGAGGGAGGTGAGAACCCACGCCAAGGTGTGGTAGTCATGTTGCTTATCAAGAACCTTGATCAAGCTATTGACATTTTCCATATCCAGTTGGGCGAGGTCAACATTGTGCTCTTTGAAATATCCTAAGGTATCACGCAGAATAGTCGCCGACACATTCGCCATGTACTTCTTGGCCGATACTGTTGGACGTACGTCATTCTCTCGGCCGGCAATGGAAAGGCCCAACTTGAAGACTAGCTTGAGTGCCGCCTGGGACGAGTAGCCATGGTTGGCACTAATGTATTTCGCTGCTGCCAATGCGAGTTGACAGGCAGACTGGTAATCTTCGGATTGAAGCAACTGGCTTGCGCGGCTGTAACTAGCGATAGCCACTGAGCGAACAAAGTCTCGCGAAACATGGGTGCTGAAATATTTTAGCACCGTATCGATGAATATCTTCGCCTGGTTATTGTCGATATCCAAGCGGGTGCCCTCATTCGCCATGAAGAAGTTGGTATACCGGTTCGCCACCTGCATAGCGGCCGAATGACGACCGCGGCTAAGTAAGAACGTGTGCAGGCGAGCGACCATTGCTGTCGTATCCTGGAATTTGCTAGCTTTTGAACCGAGAGCTTCACGGAATTGTTCAAAGTATATGTACTCCGTAGTGAGGGAGGCGTAGACTTCGTTCAACGTAGTAGAGTTGTCTTCGGATTCCCGGATGCTGTATTCGAGCTGAGACAGGAAAGCGAGGCTTGAACGCCATTTCGAGCTCTGATCAAAGCTAAAGGCGCTGGTATTCATGGTTTCCTTGATGATAACATGAAGATAAATCTCGTTTGCGAGCTCCTTGGCCTTTTGAATTTGACCAGCTGCGATGTACCCAGACGCGATACTCTTGGCCGCCGCAGTCAGCTTGATAGAGGATGTCTCGGTCGATAGGATGTGAGTTGTCGCTTCATGTAGCAAAGAAACAGCTGCCTGTGACTTTCCTTGCTGGGTATAGACTGAGACGATCTCTTCCATCTGCGATAGGGCTTCCTCGTGGGCCCATCCGTATCTAGACCGGATGGACGTCAGCCGTTGGCTACGAATGGACAAAACCTTTTGTAGCTCAGTTGCCGACATGCTATCCACTTTTGAAGCAGTCAATGAGGCACTCTGCTGCTCATAGATAGTATCCAAGGTGGCGCGGATGTCTTGACGGTCGATTTCAACTTCACTGGATTTGATCTGTAATAGCTCTTCGTAGAGCTGAACCGCTTCCGCTTCGAATTGCTTGGACTCTTGGCAAATGTTGGCCAGTGTGTTGGTTGCCTGTACGGTGATCGACGCGCTTGCGCCGAAGAGGCTAATGCATGATTTGCGATATTGCACCGTCACATCATGAATGGTAGCGATGTCACTGTGAGTCTCGCGCAGACAATGAACATAGTGTTTGTAGGCGGTTTGGACAAATCCAGGATCAGACAATTTCTGACTAATCTGGGGGGTCTTCAGGGTGTCGAATAACATCTGGCAGGGCTTCAGTGCATCCTTGTATCGATTTTGCTTCAAGAGCTCCGTCGCTACAATGATAAGTGGCTCAAAGGCAGCCGGGTGACAGGTTTCCGAGCCCTTGTTCAGAAGCTGGATGATCCGGCAATAGTAATCCACTGCGATGGGTTGCGGGCTTGTCAGGTCTGCCAGAGTCCAGAGCTTTTGTAAAACAGTGGGATGATCCTCCCCGAGTCGCATGGTATAATCATGCAATATATCCTGGTGGATCTTGATGGCCTTGTCGGGCTGTGATGTACGCTCGTACAGACGAAGAAGATCCACCGTGACTCGCTCCGAAATTTGATCACCGCACGCTGGCCGATCGCGCCAAACTGCAGTATAGATTCGGGCCCGGATATCCTCTTCCTTGGACGGGCGACAGCGGTAGCGATAGCAGCTTGCAAGGCGCTCTGCGAGCTCAACGCAGTACTGAACATGGACTGATGGCAGTACAACCTTTTCAATCGAGGGCGCAAACATCTCTGGCCACATATCTCGCAGCACTCGTTTCAACACGCTTGTAGCGTCATGCCACCGATGTTGAGAGAGGTACATTTCGACCAGCGCTGTGGTCGCTGTGGTGGAATCCTGTGCTCTACTATAAACTATCTCTTTGAGTGTTGACTCCGTCAGCATGGAGCTTGTAGATGATGAGCGCATCACTTCGCGGGAGGTGGACTTTATGTGCTTTTCCACCTCCTTGTGGGTGGCACTCTGGCGGCTAGTACTTTGTGCGCAGTGTTTGAAGACTTCGAGGGCTAATACAGACAATCCCAGAGACTTCATGACCTGAGCAATTTCAAGCAAGTGAGGCACCAATGGCTCGGCGCTGGGGGTCTCTTTCTCGTACTCTCCCCAAACCCCGGCAAGGATAGAGGCTGCTTCATCATCTCTTCCACGGCTTTTAAGGTATCGAGCATACTCGAGGGCGGTCCGCAGCATTGAGACTTTTTTCTCAGTGGAATGGTTGAGCCGATATGTCTTGCTTGCTTGCTGCCATAGCTCGACATATGTGCATTCGGCGTCCGCCAAGTGACCCTCTGCTCTTTGCTGCTCGGCTTTGCTCAGGAGAGTCTTCAGATCAAAGGATGATGTGATCAACTCGTCCTCTTCTATTCCATTCAATTCCAGAATAGTGCTTGTCTCAGTGGTGGGCTTCCGGCCGTGGAGGTGAACCAGTAATGACTCGTCTATCCGTCGAGATCCCCTCCGCTGGGCAGTACTATCGACCAAGGACTCCTCTAGAGAGACATTGATATCCTGCGCTTTACGGTTCTCCTTGATTAGTGTGTAATGTTCAGACAATTGCGTCAATGTCGCTTTGACTATATCGCTTGTCGCTCCGTAGTGGATCTTCTGGCATTCCACCAGTAGTTGGAGAATTTCGATGCGCCGGGTCATGACATCCGTCTTGGACTCAGTGACATGATCAACCGTGGCCTCCAGGAAGAACTGGGTCATCTTCATAGTGATGAGATGGCGGATAGATAGCATCTTCTCGCTGAATTTTGCTGCCTCGTAGAGGATCCGACTGCTCTCGGCGGGCACACTATCGCAGATCTGTCGGTGAAATAGTGCTTGACAGATAATGGCCTGCAAAGTGGCCGAGTGATTAATGCCCAATATTTGGCGGTACAGGGTGGTCTGAATTCCATGAATGGACCGAAGCAGCGGAGTCGCCTTGCTTGCCCACACAGTCATCTCCAGGAGTGGCACAGAGGAACTTGTAGGGAATACAGATCGCAAACCCTTACTTGCAATGGTGAGCTCTTGATTGCTGGTGCACCCAAACGCAATCTTAGCATAGCCTGCCCAGTAACGAAGCGCAAAGTCCAACAGAGGATGTTTCTCGAACAAGTGTTCCGTCGCCCGCCCATTCAGGAGATCTAAGGAGGGTTCATGGTTGTCGGTCGCGGTATATTTCACGTACAGCAGGAGTCTCTGTGTGAGATCCACATGCCTGTCCTTGACCTCGAGCAGGAATTTGCCCTTCGAAAAGGTATCGATGATAGCGGTGCGCATCTGTGCGTGCCTAAGGTAGACAAAGTCGTTGTGGAAGAAAACAAGCGAAGCGACCGGCTTCAAGAGGTGAGGGAGGTCAACATTGCTCTTCTCGGTGACCACGGCCTTTTCGAGCTGAATAGTGAGAAGAGCAGCCAGTTCCTGCTGCGTGAGAGGGCGATTTGCGGTGGCCAGCCAAACCAGAATCTTCTTCGTATCCTCACCTAGCTTAGACTGCAAGGTATGGGATATAAGGTCGGAGATCTTGTATCCTGCCTGGGTAATACTCTCCACAGACTTGGAAAGCGCGGCCTCATTCGTCAAGTGCTCATCGCGCACACGTTTGGCCACCAGCTTTGCCCAAACGAAGGAGCCATCGGATGCTTCCGTGATCCGATTCACGACCACCTCTTTGTCCTCGTTAGACATCTTGTTGTACATATGGCTTTGGTCAAGAACTTTGCGGACGACGGCAGCGATGTCATCAAAGATGAGACCCAGCGTTACGCGCACCACCGTCTGGGAGATAGCCGAGTCTATTGCCTGAGATCCAAGTATGATCATTTTCACACTAGGGGCCTTGGATGCCACCTCCCGGAGTCTGTGCAAGAGAGCTTTCTCCCCACAGCTAGCCTCATCTACGCCGTCGACGACTAGGACTAGCTCTCTGTCGCCTGACGTCCTGATCTGGAGAACACTTTCCAGAGCATTCCATAGGAGACCGTCATATGCCTCTTCGTCTACAGTCTGTTTGCTCTGGTTGTAAGCTTCGACCAAGATTTGGTACAGATGCAAGTTGCCAATGCATTTGCTAAACATTTGCGACATAATAGTCTTGGCGACAGCGCTCGGGGTGGTGTTGGCGGGAATCCGACCATCTGCACGGCTGGTTAGGAAAGCAAGAGGGTAGAATTAAGAGTAACAAAAACTGACTGATGGATGCGGATATGGGCATATATCTTGTCCCTCCGACGGGATGTTGTAGATAATCGTCGATCACAGTCGACAAAACTGTCTTACCAGAGCCCGGCTTGCCGGTGACAGAGAGCACCTGCTCGTCACCTTTCAAGAAGCGCGTCAGATACGGCTTCACCCACATGCAAGTAGCCTCCTCGCGCTCTTGGGCTGAGGGAACCGGGGCTTCACCAGCATCGGCAACCACCGGGTCTTCGGGCTGCAACCATCTTTTCAAAACATCGATTCCGATGGCTATGTCAATTATTAGCATAGTTGATTAGATGGCTTTTTGATGACTGGGAAGCAGTCTTACCTTTATCGCCATCAAACCCCTCTCGCATCAATTGATGACGCCACATCAATTCTGAAATGTGCTCACAACGACCTCGGAAACTGTCAATCGGTCCGGGAAATGTGCTGTAGATATCGATCGATACTTGTTCTGAGGCAAGTAGCGACCGATGGAAGTGCCGGGCCACACTGACAACGAGAGTGACAAGGTCGGCCAACGCAAGAATGAGTTGGTCCTTGATATCTGAAGAAGCTACAAAGAGCTCTGCACGATCGAGCAGGTTGCCAAGACCATCAGAGCAGCAGTAAAAAAATCCAAATAGGTCCATAAGGGCATGGGCATTTTCCTCTCCCAGCTGCACGTTTGTGGTCAGTGAAAGGACTTAATGGGCTCAAATCAGCGAACTTTGCTCACCTCCAGCAGGCTCATACAGTAACCATAGGATAATTGGGCAGCGAGGTGGCTGTCTCCTGCAAATTGCTCAATTCCTAGATCAAAGGAATGTACACGCTCGATGAACAAGGCCGCCCACACAAGAGCCTTGTCATAGCCACTCCCTTCGGGCGGCAGCTTCCTCATCCTCTCACACCTAATCCACTCCAACAGGCTAGCATAGTCGGTATCACGTACCCGAGAGGCCGTGAGGTCATCGCTGCCCCGACGCGCAAGTGAGTGGACTACATCGGCGAGCGTGGTGTCTTCTCCAGTAGTCTCCCTAGTGACTTTCTGATATTTTCGACTGAAACTTCTGTCTTTGGTCATGGTCGCATCCTGCTCAGGCACATCCAAAGTTGGCCGGAGACCGAGAAGGGAAGTGGAAGCCAGAGGCACGCCATGTGATGATGAAGTCATGTCTGTATGTTTTCTTTTTTTGCCTATATTAAAGATAAGAGAATTATGACAGGAACCAAGGTCAATTGGATGCTGGCAAGGCCTTTTTAAGTCCGGCCTGGAGAAGGAGCTTCTTTCTTTGTACCCTTCACACACACTCTCTCCTTCATGATAAAGTGTCATACTACGCTACAGAGATCACGTCAATATGAAGTAGCTGCAACTTCTGCATGGTCGAGCCGAGCTGAGAGCTATTGCATGTCCATGGGAAGATCATCTTTTTCGCCACTGATAATGGCATTGTTTGGTACTGACCGCGCAACACAGTAGGTATAACTGGAAGCCTTACATAAAATTGTGTGTATGACAACAGTTAGATGCAATCGAGAGAGCCTTTTCTTCCCAGAATCAAGTTTTCTGGAACATTTTTCGGAAGCGAAATGAATCAGTCAATTAATATGGGAAGTTCAGAAGGCTACCTTGTTTTGTTGAAAACCAACGGAATAAGCAAGGATGTGATGTCCAGATCGAAACCATGATGCATATGCATCTATCAGTATCTACACGCACCCATGGTATAGATATTTGGAATCACTGACAAAGATAATAAGGTACATCAAATAATCAATGCTGAAGCATCTAGTCTGAACTCAATGAAATCTCTGTCATTCCTCCTCCCTAGTGGGAAGTATACTGTTAAAAACATGCTAAGCCAAGTGATGTTTTCAGCTCAGCTCACAATCATTCACGATTATTGATCACACTTCAGGGAATATCTGTTCTACAAGTCCACTGCAGCAGGCAATCCAATAAACCCGCTATAACGAGTCCCGACCCTATCCATAATGGTTCGAAACGAAAAATGGAGACTTCAAATTGGCTTCGAATATCAGCCAGCCACAAGTAACTACAGACGTATTGGCTTTGGATTCCAGGCCGCCTTGAGTAATTGGGTTGATCAACGGGGAAGTTTTCTTGACTACATATGACCTCATTTTCCAAGGTTCTTATACACAACTGGACTTTTAGATGTGACCCTGGGACTGGTGGGCCGCATTAAATCATGAGGCCATGCTAGAAATAGCATATCAAACTTTATTCCCACCTCGGAGAAAATATATCAACTTGCTTTGTACATGAACTGACCAATTATTAACAGTCCAGGTCGTCACTGTGAAGACTTTGTGAATGGATGATGCCGAATGGGATAGAAGTGATGAATTTCAATTATTTGGTGTAAATTCCAACCATATTTCAGGTCTAGCAGTAACAGACAGCGGGTAGTGTGTATGTAGTAAGACTAGAATTTACCCGCGTTTTAGGGGGTTCCGGATCATATCAAGCACAAGCATTTCAGCCAATCACCACGCCGATACATGCCGTTAGACAGATTCTTAAGCCCCCAGTTTAGTTGACGTAAATTACAAGAATTGAAATATACTTTGTAGTTTGACACTGGCAACTGTCTCAATTCTCCAAAGAGTCTAGTCATTGTCTAGATGTGACTCGGCCTGCAATATTCATCAAAATGAGATCACTCGACTGCTTTCTGGCAAAACAAATGGTACAATGAGCAGCTCTCAACCTAACCCACATTTCCGCAAACGGCTAATGGTGTATTTTGGTTCTACGGCTAAAGAATCCATGAATATGTGGTTACAATATGCCGCGCAATTTTGCCGCCCATAAATTCCAACGTGTTTCACAAGATAGGAGAAATTATACTGCGCCAAACCCCGCAATGGGTATGAGATACCACCCGCAACCCGAAACCCTCAAACCCGCAAATGCATAAAGCCACCTTAATAAAAATGCCATACCGCTATCTTTGTTTATTTATTTAGGGACGAATCTCAGTACTTAGTTCTCCTACGGTATGCTATCTGGTATTAGCCCCAATTGATCTAAAATAACGGAAATATAGACCATATTAATCATCACCCTAGTAGCTAGTAGGAATTTAAGAAAAAAAAATTTTATTTCTTCAGCAGTGGCGAATTTTCCACAGGAAATCCCTTAAATAGTCTCGACTACAGGCGTTTCTTCGGTCCGACCGACTATTCTTCTTACGGCCTACTCGAGAAAGGCATTACAAGTTCTAATATCCGGCAGAATAACGGCCTATAGATATAATTCGATAAAACTTAGGATGAAGGTATTATTTAGCGATTTACTTCTCTGCTCCTATGAGTAACGATTACTGTAGCTAGATTATATCCGTAGTAGTACCACTTGTTAAGGTTTTATCGTGACTATACTCGCCAAAATCTATAATATTAGCTATGTGTTTTCATATTAGGTTATACATAGTATGTATTTCGTTCATAATAAAGTCAGGTGTCATGTCATGCACTATATATATCGGAGCCTGGAATATCTAAGCATAATGCTCAAATATAATGGTCAGATATAGTAATCTTTTTGGCCTAGTGTGTAGCTCGCCAGTCCAGGGGCAGGTTGTAACACCAGGTTGGGTTAGAGTAACGAATTAAGGTTGCAGGGATAAAGCGGGGCTAAAGAGATAAAAACTAAGTGGAAAAGAAGGGTATTTGTAGTTTTCTACTTATAATAGGAAATATACCTTGTGCTGTACGCGCTGAATATTCAGGTAAGGAATATGGAGGTAGGTGAATATCCATCCGCCATTAGTGTCCTAAGTAGAGCGGCGATCCGCCTATGCCCGAACCGTGAGCGTTCGGTGACCACCAACTTAAGACATGCTGTGTGTTTTTACTCTTTTTTTTTTCAACAGTGGCCCCTGCGGCCCTATTCTTTAGCCCTTTTAGTTCATTCACCTGAATGCCCTGAATACCCACTATTCTGCGCCTGAATATCTTGCCCCTCAGTTTTTTTTTTTTTTTTTTTTTTTTTCATCTCGACATCAGCAGACCTAGTAAACTTCAAAATTTCTGTCTGTTGAAACTCTGGCTTTCCCTGCGTAACTCCACGGAGACCTCGGGGCGTTGGGGTCGCGGCGACTATTTTCCGATAATATGGAACTGAGCAAAGTTCCGCCAAAAAAGCCTAAGTAGGTATATCCCATCCCGGCCAGGGGTCAGAAACTAATATTAGTAATATGTTGGTGTATCCATGGATGAAGCCTGAATATTTGTAGGTAGAAAATACGATAGATTATAGGTCAATAGTGGCACGGTTCTTTGTAGAACTATCTCAATTAACATTACACAGAAAGGTAAAGAAGCACATGAGGAAGATCGGCAGTGAGCCTGATAGCAAACCAGAACATATCAGAAAAACTTCTCAGTAATTTCAAGAAAATCATTGGCGTTGATAAGGATATCATGTTCCCCTGGTCCTGGAGGTCGGTCATAAATAGCAGCAAATGGAATACTTAACGGGGCCCCGACAACATTGTTAGGCTGGACGTAGACCTCCTGCGCTGAGTATGGCTGCTGAGTGGGAATCGGCTGGGTAATAAGTGGAGGAACATTGAGGGGCTGGGTGCGGAGTCCATCAATATATGCTCGAGTGAGTGGGCATGGAGCATTGGTGGGGGCCAGTTGCCATTTTTCAAAGGTGACTTCGGTCAACTTAATCGACATAATGATAACAATGCGCACCAGACCTTGGGAAATGATAAACCATCTCTAAGCGTCTTCGCGAAGCCGAGGGAGGGATTCAGAAACACCTGTCTCGATTACAAAAGTCGGCCATGACCCACTGGGAAGCCCATTGGGACAGCGAATTGGTGGCAAGAATGCTTGGTCTCCCTGTTCACCTGCACCAGCGGTGGGCTTATATGTAGATGTTCCAGTCCAGACCATCTCTGACCACCTAAGTCCCATTGCAATAAGCTTCATGTCGATTGCTCGACTGATTTGATTTGTGATTCCGTCATGACGCTCTGACGGGACCACTTTGATCAGCCCTGTCGTCCCCTCCCACTGAAAGCGATAATTAATGCCCCTTAGACTGCTCTGATGCTCTTCATCGAGCTTTTTTATTGTTCGTGCCGACAGATTGAGGACGACGATAAACTGGTTTCCATCTCCCTTCTCTTGTAGAGACTTCAGTAACTGCTCAGCTTCAAGCCGTAGGCTTTTAAAGCGTGAAAAGGTCCGCACAATACGGTCTACGGGAAGGGCGGACATAAGGGAAGTGAAAGACATCTCATCCTAGGCCTGGTCTTTATCCATCTGAGGGATCTGAGGTAGGGGGTGGAATCGGAGTCAACGTGATCGCTAAAAAACGGAGGTTGAAGTCATGGTGATTCGGCCAACCTTAGAAGGTTCCAAGGTAGGAATGGTAATCGTGGCACGTGATTGGATAAGACTTTCCGAGGTTTCACAGCCTATATATTGTATGTGAGCTCTCGTCGAAACCTTGGAATTGAAGCGAGAAATACAAACACATACCTGATTGCACTTGATGATACGGGAGATGATAGGATCACCACAGACGTGATGAACGATGGACCAGGTGAGGCTAAGTTGATCGCGCTAAGAGTGGAGTCTTAAACTTCACCTCAGATCATCCGCAGAACGTCAATTATCCGAGAACTTCCGGCTAAATACTAGGTACATTGGTACCTATACATTTTGATGTATCCTAAAACACACGGAATAATGCATGGCGAAGAACAATCAAAGCGAAAAATTAGATCGGAGCATTCGAATTCGCGATCAGGATGCCGAACGTGCAAGTGAGTTACCCAAAGACAATTTGTGACCTGCCAACTAATATTGGAAAGGATCCGACATAAAAAATGTGACGAAACTCAGCCGGCATGTCTCAAATGTACAAGCACAGGCAGGCAATGCGATGGCTACCTGCAGGTCATCGATAAGAGGACGCGAGAATGGCGTAATTCCGAAGCCAATGCTCTCATCAATTACCACCAAAAAACAGCTGTACAAAGCAGATCCAGCCTACCAATCGACCCATCTGCCGCTTCTATTCCGATTCCCTTGAGCAGTGTCCACCAGAACGATCTCACTTGGAACGAGCGATGGCATTTGGATTTCTACCGCAAACGCACGGCGGTTCGATGTTCGCAATACTTCCAAAACTCATTCTGGGATGGCTTAGTCCTTCAGATATGTGAACAGCATCCTGCTGTCCGCCATGCTGCGATTGCTATTGGTGCATATCATCATCAGTTTGAACGAGTCCAACCGAGCCCTGTTGAAAAACGGGAAAATTTTCTGGCTCTTCATCATTCTACGCAAGCGATCACCTGCCTTCGAGAAAGTCTCGCTCGGGAATTGTTACTACGGGAGAAGTCAAGCCGAACACACAAACATGTGGTGCTCGTCACTTGCGTCATTTTGACCACCCTTGCTATGTTCCAGGGCAATTTCGCTGCTTCTCGTTATCACCTTGTTTCAGGATATAAACTTTTCAAAGAATGGGACATCGACAAAGATGAAGGTCCCGCTGGCATGGCACTGAGACAGTTGTTTGCTCAGATCCATGTCCATTGGTCTATTTGCACTTATCCCGAGCTATTGGCAGAGGATCCCGAACTCTTTCATGATGAGCACTGGGTCTCGCCGAACACTGCAGTGGCTCCACCAAAAATTATGACTCCGCCTTCCACTGGTATTAACCAAATGCACCGTGTTGAGCAATTTGTGGTGGTTGTCGGGCGCCTGATCCTCGAGAGCTCTCCTAGTGGATTTAGCATTGAACCTGCAGGCTCTATCGGGCGTGGCGCAGCCGTGGCATTGAGGAAGCTTCGGCTCTGGGGAAGTCGTCTTATGGCTTCTCTAGTTGAGGCCAAGAGTCTAGCACCGGATGACTGCGATACGCTTAAACTCATCGCATTATGGGGCGGGATCATTGATATCAAGCTGGCTGTGGCCTCGAGTCGCAACCCAAATGAGATGACATATGATCGTTATTTAGACCGGTTCCAGCGTATTACAGAATTGGCACATATCCTGGCAGGGTCAGGCTCTAATGATGTCCCATTGTCGATATTTGTCTACAGAGCTTCTTTGCTGCCTGCGATTTTGTGGTCTGCGGCCAAATGTCGCAATTGGCAAGTGCGTCGTGACATATGTTCTTTATTGGATGAGTGGACAGGAAAGGACTACTGGGTATCTGCGACAACTCTGTCCTTGAAGAGATTGGTCCATGTGGAGTCAGATGGGGTGAGGCAGGGTAATATCATCCCTGAAAGTGCTCGGGTCGACTGTATCGACGTGAAGATCCGAACCGAGGAATCCAAAGTTGAACTTCGATATCACAGGCCATCGCACCCTGAGAAGGATTGTGACAATTTTAAGGACGAGTCAATGTATTATTAACGTCATACAGAATAGATTCAAAATCCAACTAACGCCCGTTCGGCAACTGTTCTTGCACAATTGAAAGCCCAGCACAGCTTTTCCCACGACGAATTGTTAAAAATGTTAATGCGGACATCTTACATTAGTATGAGATTTAGCCTGTAGGCTATGAACGAAAGGAATAATCGTGATGCTAGGGACTAGCGTTAATACAAACTGTAAAATATACCATTGCTAAATAAGTGGACAACACTCACTTTTATAAGAGTTTACACGGTTATTTACTAGGTCTTAGGTACGCGAAATGATCGACCTTCGGCTTAGATATTAGAGAAAACCCAATATCCCACCCGAGCTTATGAAGTCAACCACAAATAAAAGGCCCTATCCCACAATATTCAGAATCTCCTGGCCGTCATATCATGCAAGATTTGTTGAAATTCCATTTACATATAGATAATAGCGGCAACAAGGAAAGGAACTCCCAGAGCACTCCACAACGCAGATCGAACATGACGCTCTCCCGATGAATCCGCGATATTCAACGAATTATTTCCAAACCCGACAGTGCGCAGCCAAGCGGGGGTCGTCGAGTTGATATCGAGGATATCCGAATGATAAGCGTCAAAAATACCGTCGAAGCGAACTTGAATGTTGCCACGGATAGTAGTCCTAGAAACCATCTGAGGCCCTATGTAGTTGGAGACGTTTTCTCGAAGGTATGGAGACGCGACGAAAGACCCATCCATGACCAGACTCGCCGCCTGCGCACTAAAACCCGCCCTCATAATTGGTACATCGAAGTCGTCCCAGTTTTCCGTGTCCCACGATGGTCTCTCGGGAACACGCATAGTCCAATTCCCGTACTCGCGGGTGGAGTTGCAAGCAGGCGTATTTATATCGTACTGTAGGGATGCGCTGGCAGAGCGGTCTATGTTGTTATAAACTACCCCCTTGAGAGTAAAAGATTCGCGGTATTTCGTCGTAGTCATGTTGAAACGATCGTGCACGGTTGTATTCTCCCTGTTTTTCCAGGTGGGTCTGGTCGAATGAGAATTGTATTTGCGAGAAGTGACAGACTAGCTTGTAGGTGACTCACGGTGAAGATAGTAGGGGGAACATGATCTTGCTCCTGTGTCCAAAGATCTCATTCTGATATGGCAGTTCGGATATATTCTGATTCGGCGGGAACATGATCAACCATAAATTAACTGAGTTGAGGCCTGTGTTGTATGTGCCTCGTTGTGTAATCGCCAACTGTGATTCGAATTTGAGGATTGTGGTGCGGTTCTTCTGATTCGGACACACCGGATCATCTTGTGAATATCCGATTGTTGGGTTCAGTTCGACTTCTGTGGTCCCATTGTAGTAACTATACATAGTCAACTACCTATCTCATGTAACTTGGTGAGCAGAACTTACGATCCAACCCAGCTATAAAGCTGATTGAGACCAGTAACATTATTAGGCCGGAAGTTTGACCATGGCTTATAGTCCGGGTCATCTTCTGCAAACACGGCTGATGCTAGACATAAAAGCAAAAATTGGGAGGCCCAGCCCCAGATATAATGCATTTGGGGCGAATCAAAATTAAGGGAAAAAAAAATACTTTAGACAGGAAAAGGACGCGGGGGCTATGGGGGCTAAAGGCTGAATATAAGGGGTGGAGATGAATATTTGATTTCCCCTGACAAACCACAGAGTTCGTAGGGCTTACAGGTTCCAAGAGTTGACTTGTACGAATTAGGCCTAATTATAACAGAAAAGAGATGACATTTGCTATCCAAACATCTTTAGCCTTAAGATAATGTACGCTTAGGACTATTATTTCTTGGCAGGGCGGTGGTTATGCCTTAGCGTCTCGGCAAGCGGCCATAGCCGAGTGGAAATCCCAAAAGCAAAAAAAGATCTGGACTTGCAGGGAATCGAACCCTGGACCACTCCCATGCTAAGGGAGTATTATACCACTAAACCACAAGCCCAGTTGATTGATATGATGCTGCAATTAATGCATCAAGAAGGAAAACCAGAAAGTATCAGATATCTCTCGCTCATCTTTCACCTCCCTTGTCAACAACAAGTTCTTGCCCTTTTAAAATTAATTCGGTTGTTGTTATAATTATTTCTGAAAAATTGGCGCAATTGGCTTCACGAAATGATGAGTTTAAAGTATTCGTGTCTTAGTTATGAATTAGACCATGTGGTGATATATATTGGTATATGAAGTTTACTATCATGGTCTTCGACAAATTATTTCAAATCACACATCCTATTTCAAGTCCCAGTCCCCGAATAATAAGTGTCCCAAGAGAACCAATCAAATATATCACCTGGAATGGGTCTCTTATCACCAAGACGTGAAGAAGACACCTGCGGTCGATCAGCGCCAAACATAGGCCATGGGGAGCCCATATCTGCAGGCAACCATTCGAGATAGTTGGCCACGTCTAATTCCCCAAAATCAACATCCATTACATCTGCAGGGTGCTGGAAATGGCTGTCTATCGATGGTACAGGCGGTTGAAATGACTCAGCGGGCTTTCCAATAGCCTGTGTCGAGGCACAACGAGAAACATGAACCTGGGCTAGTTGGAGGAAAGCAGACGCAGTGTGCTGCAGCCTGGAGCATAGAGTAGCCAACAAGCGCATCTGCAATTTCATTGCTGCGAAGTAGTCTACCGTGGCCGATAAAAGATTTAGATCTTGCTCGACCGTGGCATGGGCGCTATTGTTGTGGACGATGTTTCCGAATATCACGAAGAAAGGGGTAAACGGACAATATAGAAGTTGCCTTATCGGGTTGTATTAGCGACTGGCACCAAATACCTGTGTGCTATGATCTGCGTGCTTACCATACTACTCCATTATACACAGAGGCCCAATTCGACACCATGGAGCTCAGGGTAGAGATGGCCTCGCGGGAAGACGAAAGGCGTAGAGTCGAGGAAGACTCATCTCCCTGGAGCAGAAGAATCAGGGAATGTAAATACTGAAACTTCGTAGTGCTGATTCCCAATGTCATTTCTCGGATCTGACTGGCAGTTGCCAAAGCACTTTCGACGTCCAAGATATTTCTGAGGGACTGTTCTCCAATATCAAAACCACGAGCCTTTCTCTCATTGAAAGATTTCCAACGTACCTGGTTGGTGTCTAAATACCAAGCCTCGAGGCTTGATCGAATCTCTTGCTTTCGAGGTACTGAGGCATCCATTGCGAGAAGATCCACAACCGACCCTGCGAGCTTTGCCCACTGAATAGAGCGTGTAACTACCTCAGCACCAAAGCGCGAGCCATATGAAGACACCTGCCCATCCCCAAATCCGACACGCTCGTGCGGGTGGAATTTGAGCAAGAAAGACTGGTCTGGCACGGGGACATTCTGATACAATGCCGTGGGAAGAAAAGCCGGTCTGCCGAACGCGAGGGAGCATGATTTGTCTAATAAGAAAAGGAACCAAAAGAGACAGAGTCGTTGCTGTCGCGAGTCTAAATCCTGATGACCCGGCGAATGTAATCCCAGAGCTTCGGCCTGCCTGCATGCATGTCCCAACAGCATCCAGGATAGATTCGGTGCCGCATAATCCTCGCCATGCATTGCCAGGAGACATAGAGTCTGCACGTTGGCGTAACGTGGTTCCAGGAAAATACGGCTATCATTCAGCGCGAGTTGCACGTTGCGTCGAAAATTGTTCGTTTCGCCATTCTCGCCATTCTCGTTGGAGGCGACGGATAGCATCATGTAATTGAAGTAGACGATCCATGCCCTTTCACGGACTTTGTGGGGTTCAAATACCACTTGTCTCATGACATCGTCTGATGGAAGGGAGAAGAAAGGTTCACCCAGCTCATTATACTCTAAGAATCCTAAGTTGGTGTTCAAAGGTTAGTGATAGTAATCATCCGTGTCTCTGAAGAACGAAATCTTACTGCTGATCAAGCGGTAGCCGGTTGCCCTTGAAGGTATATAGAACGTAGTCGAATCTTCTGCATTGTTCTGCTGAACTTCTGTGGTGGTTAATTGACCGGAGAGGTATTGAAGCTCCAAATGCGCGCTCTGACTAGTAGAACTGCCCGGTGATTGACGGATTGCATCAATGTTGGCCGATGCCTCCTTCAGGAAGGAGAAAGAATGCGAGGGGCCAACGTATAGCCTCGTCTCAGAACCCCCATTTTCTGTAGAAACGTGTCGATAAGTTCGCTTCGGTATCCCAGGATTTGTCTGAGGTGGTGCGGGAGTGATTGACTGCAGGGCTCGATTGACAGAATCTGTCAACTGCTGGACTGTGTGCTCAAGTCGCTCCAGTCTACCTTGGATGTTGTTTTCCTCTGCTGAGTCTCTTGTTCTAGGATTGTTAGCCCCAGCTATTTAAACAAGTCTCTTGAGATTGTTAAATCTCACATGTGACTGGGAGTCGGAGTTGTGTGGGCGTAGGTCGATTTATCTCGCGAATATTCGCAGCGACCGGGCCACGGCTTGCAGTTACTGCATTTCGGGAACTCCCGTGAGCATCTTTAATAGTTTAGCAATATTAACTAGAAGAAACTTGATTTGTGGGTGTGAAATACTTTAGTTTCTTCTGTCGGCAAAAGGTACACTGTGCGAGTTAGTGGCCATCTAGGAGGTGATACGGAAAAACCTACCGCAAATCGAGCAAATTTAGGTTCCATAATGGAAGGCCATAGGATTCCGGTTGTTAATATACCTGACTTTACATTTGTCAAGATAGTAAGGGAGCAAAGAGAGCGATTCGGAATGTCGTCCGAAATACGAGCTGTTGATTGGCTAAGCCCGGAGGCTCCCGCTCTGGGCCAATCAGAGTGGCTTATGTCGGAATTTACTCCGGTGTGCAACCCGACGGTGTCATCTCGACTCAAAACTTCGGGAATTTGACTGTTGGGAAAACAGTATCTATAGAATCCCCACTGAGAATGCTTGGCCTTATCCAATCGTTGTTTCGTCGGCCGGAGATTTTTTTGGGCCGAAGTATCCGTTCAAGTGGACCATTGAACAAGATCCCAAAAGCCGTAACAAAGCCGCATCTGATTATAAATAGTCACCTATACCCAACTGCATCAATTTCTATAGCCACTCGTTCTACCCATCCATCTTATAGCACCTCGCATTTATCCCGCACCTATACCACGAAAGAAGCAATGGAAGCACCTCCATCAATTGCAATTATCGGCGGCGGACCAAGCGGCTTAGTCCTTGCTCGGCTACTGGAAGTTAATGGTATTACGGACTATGTCGTCTTCGAGCGAAACAAATCCTCAACACCAGGCCCGAACGAACAGGGTGGAACTCTGGACCTGCACAAAGACTCTGGCCAAGAAGCCCTCAGACGAGCGGGCTTGTTCGACAAGTTCAGCAGCGAGCTGGCGCGCTGGGATGCTGCCTGTTTCCGTCTCCTCGACCAAACTGGAGAGACAATCATCAACTTCAGTGATGTAGGGGACCGTCCTGAGATCGATCGCTTGCAACTTCGCCATCTTCTGCTCCAATCGATTCCTCCACACAAAATTCGCTGGGGACATAGTGTCGAATCCGTCGAGAGAGGAGGGAGTAAGGAGGAGACTGTTGGTGATCATGGATGCATCATTCACTTCAAAAATGGTTCCTCTGCTACTGGGTTCCGACTTGTTGTCGGTGCTGATGGTACATGGAGCAAGGTCCGCCCTCTGGTGAGTATTAATCCGGGAATCTACGCAAGTTCTTAAATGTACCTAACATGCTTTTACTAGCTCACATCCGCAAAGCCAAAGTACTCCGGCAAACTCTACATCGAGGGTAGAATCTCACACAACAATCCGAGCTACGCCGTCGCCCATGAGTTAGTCGGACCTGGAAACATGCTTGTGTTAGGCGAACAGAAGATGATAGCGGTGCAACAGCTATCCGATGGGCATTATCGGGTTTACTTTGGGCTGGTCGCACCTGAAGATTTCTATCACAAGAGCTCTGTCAACGCCCATCCCAGCGAAACCACCGAGACAATACGTTCCCGTCTTCTGTCTTCCAATGAGTTCTTTGAACAGTGGACACCTCGCGTGAAGGGATTTGTGGAAAATGCAGAAGGTCCATTCCGTTCTTGGCCATTGTATTTCATCGACCCCGAAGAAGTTGGCTGGGATCGCTCTGTGGCTCCTGGTGTTACATTGTTAGGGGATGCTGCTCATGCCTCTAGTCCCTTCGTTGGCGAGGGTGTCAATTGTAGCATGTACGATGCAGTTGTGTTAACTGAGAGTCTTGTACGTCACTGCGGGAAAAACACCGCATTGGCAAACGTGGAGGAGGTAGAGCTCGAAGCTGCACTGGCAATGTACGAAAAGGATATGTTTACCCGTGGTCAAGATTTGATTCGGCGTAGCGATGAGAGTGGCAGAATGCTGTTTTCGGGCAATTCTGGTCCTCGCATTCTTCAAATGTTTAACGGTGATATTGAGAGTGAGTGTGTCAAGTTTGAAATTCATGAGAAGGCACAGGAAGATGAGAATATAGTTCATTGAAGATTGATGTTTCCATATTGGGATTTAGATACATGACAAACTGGAAATAGTAACGCTGAACGTGCGATTTTAAATAGAGTATTTCCACAATAGGAAGTCAGGAGCCGGTAGGGCGAATAGTTTGGCGAGCTTCAATTTTGGTGAGACGGACATCCGTTCCAATTGCAGTTAACCTAGAAAATAGCGTTTCTCTAGTGAGACACTCGTAGCTTCTCCTGAAGCCGCTGCAACCCGAGTGTCAGGTTTAATGAGGGAGCAAATATAATTCTTATCTATAGAGCAACTTTGATGTAAGGGGCCAAAAGTGTTAACGAATATCTCCAAGGGTGCATTCGTAAGGTAGACACCAGTAACTAACTCATATTTTTTTTTGGGATCTTTCCCCAGAAACTTCACCCCGGATTTTACCACTACGCTGTGAAGAAACTCATCTGCTTTCAGCACGGGGAGCCGTGAAGGATCGTGGGGTACGTCAACTATACACCACCGTGTCAATTCGGAGCGACAAGGTCGGATTGGACAAGAAGAATCCAGGTGATTCTGCAGTCATTTTAGGTCTAGGCTTTCTTTAGACTTAGACTAAATCTATCCGAAAACGACACGGCGGCACAAAGTAATTCCCGATAATCGTATGTACCAGTGGGGTGAGCGTTGGAAAATCACCTACTCCCGATTAGGAAGGGATCCGATTATGGTCTCCGCCCGTACGGAGTAGTTCAATCAGACTAGCATATGCCAAGTTTTTCAACCCTTCATCTGATTGGTCCTTTTCGTGAAGACTGGAGGTATGACTGCCGAACGGGTATCGTGTGACATTGGAAGGGCCTTGGAATAGGATTCAATATTGCCCGGAATGAGTGTCCATGTTGTGGCTTTGGGGTATATAAGGCACGGCCTTTTCCTGATTCTGGGACTTTTCTTTTCCCATCACAGCATTCACTTCATAGTCAACACATCACCCCATCATCAACCGGAGATTTCTCACAATGCGTGCTCTCTCCTCTGTCGTGGCATTGGGTATGATACCATATGTATCAGCCCAGGCAGGCCCTTGGGGACAGTGTGGAGGCGTGTCCTACAACGGCCCAACCACCTGTCAGCCTGGATGGTCATGCATTTACATGAACGAATGGTTCAGCAACTGCCAGCCTGGTGAGAGATTCATGATGTACGTTAATGGCAATCCGGAGAGCTAACCCCCCATCTCTAAAGGCACTACGACGTTGACTACGTCGGCTACGTCAACCAAGTCCAGTTCGACCACTACCTCGGCTGTGACAACTACAACTCCTACCAGTCCCGGCAGTACATCGTTCCCGAAAGCCGATGGGTTGAAATTCAACATCAACGGCGAGACCAAGTACTTCGCTGGCTCCAATGCGTACTGGCTCCCATTCTTGACGAATAATGCGGATGTCGATTCCGTGTTTAAGCATCTCCAGGAGACAGGACTCAAGGTCCTTCGCACCTGGGGATTCAATGATGTGAATAGCCTCCCGGGCTCTGGAACTGTTTACTTCCAGCACCATGACCAATCAACCGGCAAGACCACTATCAACACCGGTGCGAATGGTCTACAGCGCCTTGACTATGTGGTCTCCGCAGCGGAGAAGTACGGAATCAAACTGATCATTCCTTTTGTCAACAACTGGAACGACTATGGTGGCATGAATGCCTACATCAATGTCTATGGTGGTAGCAAGGTCGAGTGGTACACTAACACCAAGATCCAAGATGTCTACAAGGCATATATTAAGGCTGTGGTTTCTCGGTACAAAGACTCCCCTGCCATCTTTGCCTGGGAGTTGGCCAACGAGGCCCGCTGCCAGGGTTGCAGCACTGACGTTATCTACAACTGGGCTAAAACGACTGCTGCCTATATCAAATCCCTCGACTCTAACCATATGGTGACTACTGGCGAAGGTATGGATGTTCTTGTTGCTGACGTAAATCTGTTACAATACTGACATATCTTACAGAGGGCATGGGCTTGACCGTCGGCTCAGATAACTCCTACCCCTATACAACCTACGAAGGCAATGACTTCGCCAGGACTCTTTCTATCCCGGATATTGATTTCGGCACATTCCACTTATACGTGGCTGATTGTAAGTGAAAACCCCCCTATCCATGCCTCGGTTGTGCAGTAGTTAACTAGGATTAAGGGGGCATCTCTAACAACTCCTGGGGCAACGGTTGGGTTGAGTCCCATGCTGCTGTTTGCAAAGCTGCTGGGAAGCCATGCATATTTGAAGAATACGGCATTAAGGATGACCACTGCTCTGACTCACTTGACTGGCAGAAGACCAGCCTTGCCACCACTGGAATGGGCGGTGACATGTTCTGGCAGTATGGCCAGCAGTTATCTACTGGACCGTCCCCCAACGACCATTACACCATCTACCTGGAGTCCAATGAGTGGAAATGCGGTGTAGTTGACCATGTCAAAGCAATCTAAAGCCCCGAAAGCTCTGACCTGGAGTACATTTTGGAGGACACGAAAGAGAGTCTGGTCTTGTGCGTGTGTGTTGACGGCATGAACACTTGGACTAGGCTATATATCATTTAACTTGCTGTTAATGCTTATGGCTTTGATGAACGCCGTCCTTCTCATAACCTCTGTAGCATCCATTTTCTGGTTCCTTAATATGTACAAAGTACTCTGCTGTTGTCTCAACCACCCAGGCATTACGGGAACTTTCCAGAAATACACTGGCTTGCAAACTCAGCTTCCAACCACTGACACTGCCTAGAATTCTCGAATAAGTACTAAGATAGTTAGCTCATGTCTAAATTAGTTGTTGAACTCTCACGTTGTCATAACTGCCGCCGATAATTATGTGCTCCATAGTCCATCTTTATATCCCCTCCCCTCTTCTCTTCTACATAAGTCCAAGTATATTGTTTTGTGTAGAGTCAAAAACATTATGAGATCGGAGAACTCTTCTTGATATATTCTCGCGAAGACCACTTCCACCGTACAGCAGACCACAAGCTAAATGAAACTGATCGCCCGCCCTGCCGGAAATTGCCAATTTAGGTATTGTGAATAGCTTAAGGTTTACGTTAAAACCAATGAACCTGCATCACTGTGATTAATACTATAAAATCTGGTATGGGGTATACCAACCCTGACTCTCAATGATGGTTTCCACTATGTGTTGCATCGTCTCAGAGAGATTCCCCAAGTACCATATCTTTAATTCCTCCCATGCCGACTGCGCAGTAGCAACCAGGATCTTCTTTGCATCTGGCCTTGACAGTCTGAATGCCATTCAATTATCGGTCTTCATCCGAAAGAACTTCAATCTTGGTGGGAACGGTCCTTCTATCGGCCAAAATGTCATCTATGACCATGGATCGGTCAATCGTCTCGCCGAATTGGTCTACCATTCAAGAGTGGGAGCTAGCCTGGAAGCCGTTGATGATACCTCTACAATCAGTGCATGGGTCGAGAAATATTCCCAGTTCACGAATCTGACCTCCCCCGCTGCGAATATGCCCAAGTCCTCTAGCCATCGAATCGTGGGTGAAACTCTAGCCCTAATATCCCGCTCTTCTCGTGCTTACATATGCAGATTTTGGCTGGAGTTACTGAATTCCTGGGAGCCCATATTTTAGCCGAATTGGCGCAGTCATCGCATGTTGAGATCGGTTATTGCCCCGTTAGAAAGCTAGACGATGTGGATGCAATGTCAAGAGTCATTCAATCATTGCGACAGCGGAAACTCTCCCTTGATCAAGATTCATCAGCCAAAGTGATTGCCCTATACAGCGACATCGGCAAGAATAACTTTGGCCTAGAGACTGCCATTTTTGGAATCATGAAAAAAACGGTTTCTCTAATCATACACGCTGCCTGGTCGGTTAATTTCAACCTCGGGCTTTCAAGTTTTGAGGACTAGATAAAGGGTCTATCAAACTTGATTCAGTTTTTGCTAGACGTTGAACAATCTAAACCTGCGCGGTTTCTATTTTGCTCCTCTATATCGGTTGCTAGCCGAGCACCCGTAACTACAGATGTTGCCGAGAGTCTCATAACTGACTACAATCATGCTTCAAGGACTGGCTACGCACGTTCAAAACTCATTAGTGAGCTCATCATCGGCAAAGCTGCTCAAATGGGTGCTCGAAGCAGTATTCTGTGCATTGGGCAAATCGTTGGTGATAGTGTCCATGGCATATGGACAAACACGGAGGCCATGCCATTAACCATTCAGTCCGCGCGTGCTATCGATGTACTGCCTCAACTGTATGAAGTTAGTCTTCCCCCAAGTTGATGTCTTGAAATATGTGTTCTAACCTGGCTAGACCTGCGCGTGGATACCGGTGGATTATCTCACCGAGACAATTGCCGAACTTTCGCTTACTACCAACCAAATGCATTTCGCCGATGACTCTAAATTACCATTGGTTTACAATATTGTCAACCCGACCGAGTTCCATTGGACTAGAGACATGCTCCCCGCAATGAAGGAGGCCGGGGTGGGATTCACACCTATTCCCCCGTCCGAATGGGTAAAGCGACTAGAAAAAGGCGACACAGATCCCTCTAAAAATCCTGCCATCAAATTGCTGTCCTTTTTTCAATATCGCTATGGTGGAAACACAACCCATGAGTATCGACAGCCACGTTTTGAAACCACACAGACACAAAGGGACAGCCCGTCCCTAGGCAAAATACCCAATATCATCAGCACCGGACTGATGAACAAGTTCATTGCCGTATGGGAGGAAAAATAAAATCGGAAATCATTCTGATTTCCCTTTTGGTATGATTGATAGAAGATAATTTTCGAGGTCGCTTGTTGTTGACAATATATTTTTCCACTAGATTTCACGGTTAGAAAAGTTGTGTACGTTCCAGTAACAACACTAGAAGTCCTAGAATAGCCAACGCTATATCCGTTGACGTTACCAACACATACGATATCTACTAAGTCCCCTATATACCCTTTAACATATTTTCCTTTACCTGGATGCAGTGATATCATTCCATATTAACAGCTAACCACTTATATGTCACTCGGATAATCATTTGCAACAGCATTTACCATTTAAGGGACTACTCTAAGTTGGAGAAAGGAGTCCTAGCAGGCAATGCATGGAAATCTCATCAGGCCTTTGGGTGACCGCATGGCAGCGGCAACTTAATACCACGACCGTTCCAACGAGGACTAGAGGTGTATAGCTAGCCGAGGTGCATTGATTAATTGCATAATAAAAAGACCTGAAATTTTGAAAGCACATATTATGGCGAGGTTTAAATTTACCAAGATACAATATTAGCCTTATCATAATTATTCACGTTATTCAGGGCATTAGGTGGGTGAATGGGCTCAAAGGACCAAAAGAGTAGGGCGATAAGAGGGAGTTTCTGAGCAATCAAAGACAAAAATAACACAAAAACATACAACAGTGAGGATTCGCTGGTGGTCACCCACCCAACTACTAACTCACCGGCGTGTGGCTTAAGTACGGCTGAGCGGACGGGAAGCCCTGTTTTCCACACCCTATGGTCGTATGTATCAGGTTAGGAGTGGGCGAGAAATATAAAGGTGCGCAGGATGTAAATGGTAGGACAGTATCAGTATCATGCAGGTGGTACGGTCCTAAGTCATATCATATTTATGTGGAATACTATGGGGATTATAATAATGTACACGGGCTGGTTCGGAGAAACGACCAGCGGTAGATGTACGCTAAGTAGGTTAGCACCGGCAGGTTGTCGCAAGATAAAGAGTGTATTCGTAGTCGTTCTCCGTACCATCGAGGAATTCACTTCGTGTAGTTACTCGTGGAGATATAAAATTGGGACCAACGACTTCGCGAGGGCCGGTAGCCTTTGTAGCTAACCCAAGTTATTTGGGTGATTTCGCTCATCGTTGATTTTGACCACTGGCGGTTGTAATGATAGAGGCAACGGATTCTCGATCTCGTTCAGTTTTATAAGCAGCATGGTTGATCCGGTTCGGGATCTGTGGTAATAATGAACGTAATCGACGTTTGGCCTTGATCAATTTCGGACCCGACCATGTGAGCGAGCAAAGCCCCCAGTTGGGCTATGATATTAACTTGAATCTTCTCTCAGCAACACAATTGTATTCAGCGTAAATAAAACTCTGCAAAAACATAAAGCTCGATTATATGGAGCCGCGCTATGCTGGCTACTCTCGATCCCAACTGCTCGAAGACACAAATCACCAATCCAAAGTTCTGTTCGACGTCGGCGCACTTTTGCCAGTTGACTTGCCCATCGCCTGTCCCGTATTTGCGCTGGCAATCTTTCTGAAGACGGATGTACCAAACCGATTATACAGCGGAAGCACACCCCCAGCTTCGAGGAGTGTTTTCTCTATCTCTGACTGCTGGTAGCGGAACACTTTATCAGTACCTTCAATCTGCACTGTTCGGGCCTGTCGATCAATGATGACAATAGATCCCTCATTTGCAAGTATGTAGAATTCGGGATCCGATAAGGTGATGTTGAACAGGCCCATATTGAGTTGGTTGCGGTCATCTGCATTATCTTCTCAGACTCTGGCTAACAACATTGGGTAGGTTTCAGAACTGTCGCCACTTACAGATAAACGCGAAGCTAGGCGCAATCACTGCTTCTATCCCTGCTCCTTGCAACGATCTGACTGCATCCTCGCGGGACGAACCACTGCCAAATCCACGATCTGCGACACTGTGATTGATTAGTATCTCGACTTTGAGGGTTGGTAATGGTTTCGATTACATGATCGTTGACCCCTCTGTCGCTCGTTTTCGGAACTCTGGACGATCATACTCGAAACAGTGACTTCCAAGTTCTGCATTGTCAATACCAGGTACAAACTCAGCCGGAATGATCGCGTCACTGACATCTGCTGTCAGAAATGGCCTCGGAAATAGATGATAATCGACTCACGTATCCACATTTTCACCAAATCTTTGGACCTTCGACCGAATAACTCCACCACTAGAGATTTTCGCCACACCCAGAGTCGGTGCAGGAGTCTGAATGGGGAGGCTACTACTGGCATCGATGGAGGCGATATTTGATGCAAGTACTGGGTTAGGCTCGCTGATCTCGGGGGCAATACTCAATGAGACTCCCTCTCTTCCCAGAATCCTGTCCAATTTCGCTCTGTCAATTTGACCCAGCAGTGGCTGTGGGTCTGTGATTACCATGTCGAAGCTCGAGGCCGCAACGACCGCGGCGCAGGTGATACTACCAATGGCTCCTTTGCCCATTCGATTCCGAAAGTTGCGATTTTGTGAGGAGAGCCAAATTTCACCTTCACCCGCAACATCAACATCGTTGATTCCAACGCAGTAAGAGCATCCCGGTGCACCGATGTCAAATCCTGCCCGTCGGTAAATGTCCAAGATACCGTGCCGCTCCAGGTTCTTGATAATGCTGAGACTTCCAGGTGTAACTCTCCTCTGCCCGTCACTGGGCACCAGACCCGCCCGCAGGCCAGCTTCTAGAACCAGTCCTCCCACAATTAGATCCTCTTCGGTCGTGGTACAGGCTCCGATGAAACATCCATCCAGCTTGGTGTCAACTTTCTCTGATACGGGCACAACATTATCCGGCTCAGGATACAAAGCGATGGTCGGTTCAACCTCCGAGAGATTGACGGTGCGCACCTCAGCATACTGAGCATCCGAATCGGCTCGGAAATAGAGGCCCCCTTGATGTTCCAGATGCGGCCTGTTCGAAATCCATTCGGCAGTGCTCTCATCAGCTTCGAAACACGCCCCCATCCCGCCGAATTCAGTCGTCATGTTTGCAATGGCGAACCTAGCATCCATGGATAGCTCCTTCAAACTCGGACCGCCGTATTCAACCGCGCGTTGGAAGGCTATCGTGTTTCGTTTGAAAAGGCCAAGTATGTGAAGAATCACATCCTTGCCACCCACCCCAAAAGGCAATTCACCGATGAAATTGATACGGCAGATTTCCGGCACACGAAACCACGTCTCTCCCGTTACCATCGGCATGACGACATCTGCAGCTCCGAGGCCAACAGCCAGTCCTCCCACGCAACCAGCAGAGCAGGAATGAGAGTCGCAGCCCACAATAATCTGACCAGGCAGTGCTCGGTCACGGGTAAAGTCAGTATGAAGAATACTTGTATTGGCAGGGAGAAAGTTGACGAGCTTGGCTTCACGTTGGAAGCTTACTGCTTTCTCGATCAAGCATCGCTGTCGGGGTCGATGATTCGTGCGTGGGTCAACAGTATGATCGATCGCGAGCCACATACGGTCATTGCGATGCAAACGCGGTCTTCCCATTTGCTCATATGTCTTGTCCATTCCTGCCCAGAGAATCTCGGAAGTCAACGTCCAGTCAACTTTCACACAGATGATCTCGCCGGGTTGGACCTCTGGTTTGCTTAGTCCAACAGCGGCATGGGTCAGGATCTTTTCAATTATACCCATTGGACGCCTTTGGTGCATTGGACGAGGGGATGGCGAGGTTGTCGGTACTTCCTGAGAACCAGCATGTGAGCCCGCAGCAGCCTCCAAGTAATAGTCCAAATGCGTTATAAATTCGCCCATGAATTCCTTCGAAGAGGCAGTACCACCAGTACTGGGCGTCCGGACATTGGAACCGATGAGTTCAATTGGATCCAATGTGCGCCGAATTGACCTAAGGATTGCCACAGACTCCGCAGTTAGACCAAACGACAGGTCAAGCATCAGGCTTATGACCTGTAAAATTGGAACTGGATCCGAAGCTGCCTCATTCGCACTAGTTCTACCCGGTCTCAAGATCACAGAGTGCGTTCTGTCGGTCTGGTTTGATAATTCCACAATGGTCGCTGACGCCAGCAGGTGCTGTGAGCCTTGGATGAGCTTCCCTGCCTTTTCTGACACCATGCTCCCATTAGGACTAGTTGTCAAGATGATGCCGTTTAATCTGGTTGGGTGTGAATCTAGGGCTGTTTCTGCCGTGTTTATCGGCACATGGTGGAGCGCGACACGTGGAAATTGTTTGCTGAACACTTCAGTAACAACAGAATTCCAAAGTGGAAAAGACTCAATGTTGTGCACAGGCTTTGGTGGAGAAAATTGCAATGCGTAGGCCCCTGCCCAACGCGCCAGCCGTTCGATGGTCTCACGGGAAGCCTCATTTCCAGTATTGGTAGCGTCACTGACCAAGGTGATAGCTAGACCTTGGACACCGTTTCTCGGCAATCCCGTTGAAACAAGTCCAATGCTTGGAAAGAAGAAAGGTTGGATGTTTGCAAAAGCACCGACCTCTTCAAGGGAGTCCAAGGTTCCTCTGACAAGCTCCTCTCCCGCCCCGCACACCACAACGGCATCTGACTCTAGACATGCCTCCAGCGCGGAAAGGCTCAGTGGTTGGTGGTTGCCAGCCTGAGTGACTTTGCCAGATGGAGTTTCCGTAATGTCGAATTTAACACCTGGTCTCGACGCCTCGATGAAACCTAGCACCTCCCTGGCGAGGGCTGCCATTTGGATGTTGGGTTCATCACCCGAGACAAGAGCGAGTCTGTTTTTCTGGTTTGACAAAATTTGTGTAGGAGACATAACGGCAATATAATCAGTGTAGGCAAGAATGCAATCTACTCTCTGAGGTTGGGGAAATGCCAGTATATATACCCAACGAATCCGATGTCGGGCACTTCGATTGTTTTTTATTACATTTCCTATCGATTTTATTTGTTTGTTTTTTCCTGCAAATTCCACCCCGCTCACCATAAACTTTTGTACTAGTTATTGGCCAAAAGGCACAAGTTCGAGTGGATGTTGTCACGTCCTAATTTTGTAACACGGCGAATACAGGGATTTCACGCATTTTTAGATATGTAATTTGAATTTAAGTGTGGCAACCAAAACGAGAAGCTCTGGCAAGGTTCCTGGCGGCAATTTCTTTAGTTAACATGAATGATTGGCAGAAGTCTCAAGAATTGTCGGTTGGAGGGCAGCTCCTCTTGCAGATCCTGTTTTTTGTTAGCACCTAACTTTGGCAGTCTAATCGATCATGAACTTACCAGAGCGGAGGAGAGACACGCCATAGCAATAGCAACATCTCCACGTTGAGCAGCCCTAGCACGCCACACATTCCGGCACTTGACTAGTGCAATAACCAGAGCCTCCCCAAGGCTACCCTGAATACTACGAGGTACAACTTCAAACTCCAAATTCAGCCCTGCCAAAGACGAAAATGCAAAGGAGACCGCATCCGCTGCATTTTCACCCGCGGCCACGACTTCCCGTCGGTGACCCTTGACCAAGACAATGGCGCGCATGATGACACGGCCTGTACCATCCAGCTTGGGTGATACATCACACTCAATAATCCGAGAATCTGCTTCCAAGATGGAATAGTGTCGAAGGAACGATTGTGTGATTTCAGCCTCCGTAAGCCATCGCCCCTTCATCTCAGACTCAGATTTGATGATTTTCGAAAACGCTTGTTGGAACTCCTTGGGTAACTCCAGGTTCAAGGTTCGCTGTAGCACCCATGCCACGCCTCCTTTACCACTCTGCGAATTAATCCGAATCACGGCCTCATAAGTAGCTCCAATATCCTCCGGGTCTATAGGAAGGTAAGGGACTTTCCAGATACTGCGACCATCCACTGATGCAGCGTCCCGCCACTTTTTGAACCCTTTATTGATGGCGTCTTGATGTGACCCGCTATAAGCCGTGAATACAGATTCGCCGGCATAAGGGGCGCGAACGGCAACAGGAATTTGAGTGATCTTTTCAACCGTTTCCCGAATTCCAGGCAGATCAGAGAAGTCGAGCCCTGGGTCAACTCCTTGGCTGTATAGATTGAGTGCAAGGGTGACGAGATCAACATTACCGGTGCGCTCGCCGTTACCGAAAAGGCAGCCTTCGACACGCGTGGCACCAGCAAGCTGACCAAGTTCTGTCGCCGCAACGGCGCAGCCTCGGTCGTTGTGCGGGTGTAGAGATACCACGACATCGTTGCCCGTGAATGCACGTGCGAAAATTTCCACCTGGTCTGCATATGTGTTGGGTGTGCAGCGCTCCACAGTGGCAGGAAGATTGAGGATTATTGGGACCTCTTCAGATGGGCCCCATGCCTCTTTGACAGCTTTGCAAACGGCAATCGCATAAGAACTCTCTGTGTCAGAGAATGCCTCAGGGCTAAACATCAAGTTCCAGGTGGTCCCTTGCTGAGTAGGATCATCTTTAGTGATTGACCTGGTGTACTCGACACATTCAACTGCAGTGCGCAACACAGCCTCTTGTGTTGACTCAAACATAGTTTGGATGAAGCTGTCACTAGTGGCGATGTAAAGACTAATGATGGCCTTCTTTGCACCGGTGACACTGTCAACTGTGCGCCGAATAAGCTCCTTTCGACATGGCGAAAGAACCTGAAGCCACACATCTGAAGGTGCGGAGGCAACGACACTACGAGTGAAATTGAACTCTGTGTCTGATGCACTGGGAAATGAGATGTCGATCTCAGTGAAACCAACCCGTAGGAGCATTTTGAAATACTCCCACTTTTGTTCTACATTCTTAGGAATATGTTAGTGTGTTGAAAACCCGAAGAACAAAGATTCACATACCATTGGGCATGCAAGAGCTTGATTCCCATCACGGAGGTCTGTAGCCAACCAGCGCGGTTTCTTAGTGATCCGCTTGGAGGGCCATGTCCTATCCGGGAGGTCTGGAGGAACAAAAGCATCATATTTATCGGAGGGATTGCGAAGCCTAGATCTGGTCAATTCAATTCATCAACAACTTTCTAGTCCCCGAACATACATAGGCATGGTGAACAGCAATAACAGAACTTGGCCTTTCTAACATCCTTCTCGCAGCGTACATATCCTCATTTAAAGCATCCTTCTACTGACTTTACCCCTCATGTCAAATGCCAACAAAGACTTCGCAGTAATCTTCCCAATCATCACATGTACATCTTAGTCTTGCGCAATACGTAAAGTCAGTACTCCTTCAGCCGTGAATTGCCAAGATGAGACTTCATTCCTTGAACTAGCCCTGCCGTTTCCGATATCGCTGTCGGGGAGGCAGTGTTAGTTCCCCCGTAGGCTATACGAATTGTGAAATTGTGATAATCTCATGTTAGTTGCTATCGCCTTAGTAGGTTCCGTGGGGGCTACATCTGAAGATTTGAGCTAGGAGTAAGCAGGCAGCCCCATTGGTCAATAGCCTTTGCCACTTATGGTAATATACATGGAACTCACTGTTCTAGGCCCACGTTAGAGTATTGCAACATTGATCAGCCTTAGCGTAGCCCATTGTCCGCCAAGCCTATCTTATGCCAAGCCATATCAAACAGGGCAGGTGTAAGCAGCACAAGTCCTCTCGGGACATAGCCACCACTAGGCATGCAGGGGTAGCTCCAGCATGCATATCTCTCCACGAATAAAGGACTTCAGTAGTGGCCAGATAATGTAATTTTGTCTCGAGCTGAGCTGGGCGTAAGCCCTAATATTGCGGATCGTCTATTTTGTCAGCTGTATGACAACAAGTTATCTAGGGAAAACCAGATCCACCAAGACATTGGATTATTGGCGAGTGCGCTATCGGCCTCATTTTATTTACGACTGCTGGCGGGGTAGACCGCGGGGTGGTCTGATTATCAGATGTAAACTTATAAGTCATTCTATGGTCCAGAAAGAGCCCACCGAAAAGTACAGTTCATTTGTTCAATCATTGTTACTATGTCGATTCCTGTTCTTGACGCATCCGCTCTCTCTGAAGGGACTGCTGAGCAGCGGGAAGAATTTGCCACCAAGCTCCTGGACAGTCTCAAAACTTATGGCTTTGCAAAGCTTGTCAATCACACGGTTCCCGTTCCTCTTGTCAAGGAGACTTTCGATCAGGTAACATGCCCACACTCTCTCATTAAAAAGAAAGAAGACTGACACCCGCAATCACTAGATTAAATCCTTCTTCAAACTCCCATACGCAGTCAAGCGCCCTTTGAAGAATGATCCCAAAAACGGACAGCAGCGAGGATGGAGCGTTCCAGGAGAGGAAAAAACATGGTGGCTTGAGAGCAACAATGGGGAGATAAAGGAGCCTAACTTTGGCGACAACAAGGTACGCACTAGATCAGAGAAAAAAGCTTTGTAGTTCTAACAGTTATTCTAGGAGAGCTTCGACTGCGGACACCCTGATGACAAGCAATTTCCCAACGTCTGGCCACCTGAGTCTGACCTACCTGGGTACCAGGACACCATGGATCGATTTTTCTTTTCATGCGGAGACCTCACCCTAGAGCTTCTGCAAGCCATGGCGGAGGGACTATGTCTCGACCCGACTGTGTTCACCTCCCGATGCACCAATGAGGCCAGCACAATCCGCATCAACCATTTCCCGCCGATTGAGCGCAAAACATTGGATGATGGCAAAATCAGCCGCATTTGGCCCCACAAGGACTTTGGAATTATCTCCCTCGTGTTCCCAGACGTGACTCCCGGACTGGAGTATGAGGATCGGAGTAACCCCGGCACTTTCATTCCTATGCCGTACGGCTCAGACAAGGAAGTAGTTGTTATTGTTTCTGAGACCATGCAGCGCTGGACAAATGGCCAGATTGGAGGTGGTCTCCACCGTGTGACCCGTCCGCGGGAGTGTGATGAGGAGACTGTTCCCGAGCGGTGGAGTCTGGTTTACTTTAACAAAGCCGATCGGCATGTGAATGTGGGGCCTTTGAAGGAATTCCTTCAAGATCAGAAGCCGATGTATGAGGACTTGACAGCTTTGGAGTATCAGACTCTGAGAAACGCTGCTCACTACCCTGGTTAGTTGATAGTTGACAAATGGAATCGTCTACATAACTACAAATTCGACTGCATAAGTAAAACCCGAAGCATAACGTTGTATTTAGCTGAGGTCGACCAGGGTAAGAGCCACGTGTTTCTAAAGCTCATACGGTCCTGTTGGAGGTCAAATATACCGAGACATGCAGATGCATGGGACTTTTGTAAGATACAACGTTAAAATAAAATCCCAAGTCTTACTGGGCCCAGGGGCCCGGGACCTCACATCCTGCTTATATAATACACTGTCAAAACCGATGGAATCTAATACTAATGGTGTAAATCCTGACTCTCACAGTTCCCACTCGGTGCATCGTCTCAAGGGGATGCTGGGTTTGCGTACTGTTTTAGCGTTGGATACTATTAGACCCAAGTAGGTAGGTACAATTTGTATAATTCTCCATTCTAACCTTGGAAGCTGAGGGCTACGGGGGAGAAACATCCGTCCAATTACAGGGCGAGCCGCATTCGGAGTGATTCTCATTCGGAGCGGCCCGTAGGCCCACTTAGGTTTAGCGTTTATGCAGGACCCACTTAGAGTAAACATGAAACCACCCGGGCACGAATAGTCTTCTATTGATAGGTCTAATCTGAGTTCTTCACATTGGGTCCGTTCACCAAGACACTCCACTCATGCTCATCTTCACCATATTGCCGAGCTTCAATCCATCCCCTCATCTT